CTCTGGGCTCCAGTACATCAGAGTTTTATCCTGAGAAATTTGTGCAGGCTTACTTCTTGTTACCAAATATCTGTAGTGCTGTTATGGTTCTAAGGCTGTTTATTTTAAGAATACACTTCAGTCAGAAGTGAAGTATGTTTGTTTAAAGCTGAAAGACGTAGTTGTTTACGAGCACGTGTGCGTGGAGATCAATGCATGTCATCGCGATTGCGCTAGATACGTTTAAAATTAGCAGAAGATTGAGCTATACGGCGAAGTGTCTTCTCTTAGTCTACAAAGTTCCCAGTTTTTTGTAGAGTCCTAGTTGTCGAACAATTATCGGCAGCCGTCGAGAAAACAGAACGTCGCGATTGTTTAAACTGTAAACTTCACATGAGTGGTTCTGCCCTTTCAAAACCAGTTTTGTAAAGTTGTTGCCCTCGATCGACCCCACGAAATGTTCGGGTTATCCTGAAAGTTTTTTTATCGATATAATGTTAGGATTGGTGGGTGCTTTAAAAGATATGCTAATTCTCAAATTAATTTCTCCGTTCTACTAGTAGGACTTCGATTTTAAGTAGCAGCTGTAATCATTAAAGCATTTTTTTATTCGTGTTTCCAAGCGTAGTCAAGCACATGACACCGTTTATGGTTGTGCGTTATATAGACCCCAACTTTTTTTTTACGTCTCTTAGCTGTTAATCTATTGTTTTATTTCTTAGCATTTTCTTCTACAGCAACAACAACAGCAACATATGGCAGCGATGCATCCGATGTCATTTACGACGAATCCTTACGCGACTATGACGAGTGCCACACATCCTCAAACATATTCACCATATCAGGCTGCATATCCGACTCATTTTGACCCTACAGCGGCAAGCTTTGCAAGTGCGAGTCCGTACTGGCAAACTGGCTATCAACATTATGCAGCAGCGAAAGCTGCGCCAACCATGGGTGAGTTTTCAGGTGAAGTCACATCTCACGTAACTGTCATTGCTTCAGGGTAATGTCGAAAAGCCCTTCGCACTGCTTCCAAAACTTTAAGGAAGAATTGCCTTCACACGAATCTACTACTAGACAAATGCTAGTCTGAGCACGTTTTTTCGTGATTCTTTTAGAAAGGCCAAATTTTCAAGCAAATATTGATCATGGTGATGCCAAAGACCTTTCGTAAAGCGATTTGCTGAAATAACAGAAGCTCAGATATTTATAGACCACGAAAACAGTTAATTGAGAGTAGGACGAGTGTAATTTTGTGGTTAAGAAAAGAAAGAAAACTTCAGGTCCGATGATGCCTGCGAATCCAGCTGGGTTTCCATATCCGTATCCGAATGGCATGACTCCAGTGAATGGTCGATCCCAGTCAGCCGCTGGTGCGTGGCATCGATATCCTCAAGGAATGTCATCATTCGGTGGCGCAAATGGAAATCCAGCACCGTTCTCGGTCGCTCCTTCTGCCACTGATTTCATGTTCAATTCAGCAGCTGGCTATTTTGGTAATGGATCTTATCCGTTTAATATAGCTAAGTAGTAGAATTCTTTTTCTTTATTTTTAATTTTATAAGATATACTATCTGGTGGTAGGTAATGCACTTTCCCTTGTTCACTTTTCCACCGTCCATTGTTGATGTAAGTATAGTTTTGGCTTCTTTTGTGATACGGGTATATTTACTTCGCATAAATTATCAGCGGTTATGTGAACTTTCAGTGATTGCTACATATCCTCTATTGTTTCGTTTTTTCCTTCTCAGTTTTAGAACTGTTTTCGTCCTTGGTTCAAGTAATCGCATGTGGGACAAAAAATTACTTGTAATTTAACATGCGTTCTGTTCTCTCAGGTGTCGTCATTTCTTAGCATCCAAATAATGAGAGCATTTAACAAATGAGTCTTAATAATGTAAAGTAAGGTGTATATCATCCCCCAAAGTTGCTCGTTTGTCAGTTTACATGATGATAGTAGTGATGTAACTGACCACACTTGAATGTGATTCATACAGTGTAATTCGTACATATAACTTTCAAGGACTGCTGTATTTTTCCTCTTTTGTTCGAAACACCGGTGAGCACTGCGTTGTTGCCTTGTTTAACGAAAGTATGAAAGTTTGTCACGCTTTAATTTATAGTTCTCATCCAGATATAAATGTATAGACGTTTGAGTGTTATAGGTGAATAATTCAATGGCTGTAGACCATTTGGGAATGAGTGCATTCCACTGCATAAGATAGACATCGTTGTTCGCTTGAACTAAAAGAAACACTCCTAGAACACTGGTGCTACAAAACAGCTCTCGGTTTGAACAAGGCAGTTATCTTGAACAGTACTTCGTTAGCCGGGTTTTACCAGTGTTTCTCTTTTTCAATCTGATGTCTGTGCAGATAGTTTTAGGGACAGCATCACATACAACGTGACGATGTTAATGTTTTAGGGGAAGGTCGCGTGGAAGACGACGGCGCTAACAATCTATCATATTTTTATATCCCCATCCATCCGTGCCATTCTTTGACCTTACAATTGGGGCAATATTAATTACCAGCAGTACTCTTGTGAAGTACTCGTCATTCGAGCACTTAATAGTGAGCAAATCGCTATGTACATGGTGGGCATTTGGAGTTCTGTAGGTATGTGAATGAAACAAACGACGTGAAATTCCAATATTAGTTCTGAACGTTGAAGTGCATTGGTAACAGAAATCATACGTGCTGGTTCGGTTCTTATAAATATAGTGTCACTTCGCATGGTGTATGAGCTTGGGCATCAAACGAAGATATAAATTCCTAAAAGGGATAGAGCTCTCGGTGTTGATCAATCTCTGAGGGATGCACCATGCATTCGACTTCATTAAGTATCATTGGAGGTGATTAAATGCATATCTGGCCTTTACAATGACTCGCGGTAACCTTCCGATGTATCGAGCCAGTGCTGTTATCCTCCAAAACAAGTCTGGTAGCAATTTGCCTCGATTCTACGTGTGTGTCGTAGTCGCGCCTTCAACCACTGAGCCACACGCGCCCAACGAACATATAAAAACGGATTACCTAAGTATTTTTTTAAATTTTATATGATCCGTCTCCACTTTTACTGCTTGGATACCGGCAAATACCGACACTTTTTGCAGTTTATTCGTTTTCTGGCATTCATCATCCATGAAAGTCTGTGAGCTTTACAGGTGTGGGTTCAGATGCTGCCGGAGGACTTTTGCTTTGTCACGAATTCAGGTCGAGTCGATTCACTCTCGAGTCTTGAGTTAGCTGCGTTAGAGCGTTCTTGCGTGGATCTGAGGAAGTGAATCAGGCCCAGACAAGTTTGGTACCAATTTCTCGACTCCGGAGCGACGATGGGGTGGCTCAGCCCGAGACAGAGTCAAACTGGCACCGTGTTCATGATCAACAGCATTACTGGCACTGTGCTACGTGACCACTTGTATAATTATTATCTCATTTCTATCGTGCATATACTCTGCTCCCATATGAATGATCATTTATATTATATCAGAAGGTAGTCACCTTAGTTCAAAGAATTCTTTCAAAAATAAGGAAAACTACGCTATTTTACTACCATAATGTTACTTTTGTGTGGAAATGTTACTTTAGCCTACTTAATGTATGGTTGATATTGGCAGCTACTGCGGTCATGGTAGCTCTCGTGTCCTTTTTTTGCTCAAATTTTTATAAATCTCCGTTTTATTGCTATTTGTATTGTTATGGATTCAGAATAGATTGTTCTAAATAGAAGTAAAGAACTGAGAAAGAAAAACTTAATGGACCATTAGAGCAATAGGGCAAAGCGTCCATATGTTTTTTGTCAAATCTTGATAGGAGTGTGCAACTCACCTAAACTTCGTTGCAATGGTGGCGCAGTTCGTGTGCGCTCCGGCGAAGGTGCAAATATTCGTGTTCGGTCATTCGTGGCGCAATGATGGTTATGAATCATATCTGTCAATCCTCTGAAGAGTCTTGACGATATTAACAACAATTACTGAGCAGTTTCACATTTTACTACCGTAAGAAACACCAACTACCAGTAAAAATAACGAAATTATGAATGTTATCTTGCGTCAGGAGAACATTGTTATGTTTTAGACGTCCTCTTTGACATTGGTGACTTCACTTCAAGAAAATGACTAGCCATAGCTGCTTTCAATCATATTGGCGCAAACTCGTAGCAGCTCTTTCACAGTGCTAAATTCCTTCTGGACTACATCGGTATTAGAGATGACCTTGGTTTCCGTTCATGTGGTGATTTCACATTGTGAAAGGCAGCAGATTTTTAGTCTCTGAAGGGAACAACAACACCGTCGTAGACATTGACTGCAAAAAACTGTCTCCGATGGTGAAAGGCAATCATTGGATGTAAAAAAACATGAAGTGGGCACAGAAGTACACTTCAAATCTCACACAAAATCATGCGGAAATTTGAGACCATCATGGTTACAGGATGGACGGATTTCTTTCATCACACAAGAGAAACAGATCACACACGCCGCACAGATGCTCAATAACATGGGAACATACACAGAGCACGAGCGAATACGTAGAAGTTAAAGAGACACGAAAAATATGTGAGGGCACCGAACGATAGAATGATAATATCAGGAAGCCAGTGTATCGTGCCTCATGCGCAGACGTACCGGCCGTACATCATCATTTCAAGGCGAACTTCAGTTACACTTCAATGATTCCCGGTGCGGAAAGGTTATAGCGCGCTTATCTTGGTTGCCACGGACCACAACTAAGAAATTAGAGTTTTCCGTGAGGGTTTTTGGTTTTATGTATTTTTCTAACATCGCCATAGCATTTCAAGCGATGTTTATTTTTGCACTGTCTCTAACACTATAGTCAGTCAACAGCGTCTGTTGACAACTAAGTTGAAGCCGATACAGTTTTAGAAAAAAATGTGTGAATTTGTAATGTTTGAGCTAAAATATCTGAAATCACACTAACCTAAAGGAACATCGCTGACTTTCTCTTCACGTCCAGCAAAAATCAAAAAGTACTAGCGTTCTTGAGAAACTTTGTAGGATGAATCATTCCAACTGTTTGCAATGGCATTTGAAACGGAGTCAAACACCGACTTTCAAGACGGACTCGCGGTTCCATTCTTCGGCTGTAATGGCTCTTCAAGAAGCTGCTGAGGCTTATCTAGTTGGACTGTTCGACGGCACAAATCTTTGCGCGATCCATGCGAAATGCGTGACTATTATGCCCAAGGACATCCAACTGGAGTTTCGGATTCGAGGAGAACGAGACTAAAAGTGCAACTGTAGTCTGATTTTAATCCAACGGCTCTTTTTAGGGCCACAACTGATAGTATTCTTCGCTGTTACTATCAGTAAAGTGGTGTTTCAGTGCATCTACTGTCTATAGTGATAGTTATAATAAGTAAGATGTAACTCGATAAATTAAGAAATGACGATATATGTACACCTTTAATGATACGAACAGTAAATGATATGGCTACTAGGTAGTTACTGTTGGTGAGCAAGCTCTGTAAATGTGTAGTTATAGCGGTTAGAGTTGGTTAGTTCAGAGTTAAGGATGCTTTGTTCGCCGGTGATTCCAGTATATAATTCATACCCAATTAGTATGTGTAGGGGTGTTTTTCATGAACTAGGACTACCAGATTCTGTGCTAGGTATTTTTGGTGGTGTTTATATGGGAGGCAGCTGACCGCCTAGTTAACTAATACGTAGCTGCGCCGCAAATTTTAGAAAACCATAAATTAGGGAGTGACGATGTATGTTCACCTATCCTGATATGAACAGTGAATGATCTGGGTACTAGGTAGTTATTGTTCATAAGCGATTTGTGGAAACGTACAGTAACAGCGGTTAAAATAGGTAAACTCAGAGCTAAGGAGAGACTCTAATCGCATGTGATTACATTGTGTAATTCCGGAATAATGAATGAGATGAAAAAATGAAATGAATGGATGAATCATTCCTTAATGGTCTGTGTAGAGGTGTTTTCCATGAAGCAGAGCTGCCAACGGTGTTAGGCATTTGATCATACACTGAACTAGAACTCGTTTAAAAGTTCACGAACTTTTCCATTTCCTGTTTGTCTTCAGCATGAATCACAGAATTTCTTTTGTAGAAATAACAATACATTGCTCTTTGCTTGTGTCATGCAGTGATTAAATTAAAATCAAATGAATACTTTTACAAGCTAGCATTCTAGAATGTCCTTTGTCGGATGGAGGTGGTTCCTACTACGAATGAAGTCTCGCTGACGATACAAGGTGACCTTCTGGACCATGAAGTTACCGCAGAAGCCGAGGCGAAAAACATTCGCATTCTAACACCGTCTCTCAAGATAGTGCGGAGAACCATCCAGACAGAGGACTTGGTAGGTTTCATGGTGAACGACGACTTACTAACTGCTTATATGGAAGATTCAGGCAGCTTGGAACGGATCGCGTGAATTCACTTCGATTTTCACTGTTATGTAAAAGGAAATAAAATCCTATTAGTAATATAAAGGTGGACCCTAAGTGGGTGGTGCTAAGGTAGGTGTTGTGAAGCAAGTGTTATTATAAGCTCACACATCGTCTTTTGGTGAAGATGCTGGTGTGCGAGTATGGAATAATGCTTAGAGGTAGTCTAAAACACACAAATGGTAGTTGGTTGGACTACATTACTCGAACCAACCAATCCTTCAGTCCCCTTCGGGATCATTAGATTACTTCTTGACTTGTTCTTGAGCTTGAAAAATACTAACGTATGGACCACCGCTGTTAGGACACCTTTTACCACTGCGCTACATGTGTCTTCTTCGATTACAAACTCAAGCTTTTGGATGTTGAGCTCTATCGAAGTGCGAATGTAGGATTTTAGAGTATCCTCCTGGATTAGCTAATACGAAGTGGTAAAAAGATTGGTAAAATGTTGGTGAAGAAACTTTAAGCTAATAAAGATAAGTATGTATATTCAAAGAACGAGAGCGCGTTTTTGGTGCTGTGTTTAGAAGCGTCCTGTAATATACAAGAGGGCTGTCTTTGGGTTTATACTGCGCATTGGGTGAACCGAGCTTAACATCCCTTCCGGATCGGCCATTTGGTAGCAGACTTGAATGGGAAGATAAAAACACTGACTTGATACAACGGATCGGTAAGCCACAGCAAGTCCCTGTATCAAGTCATTAAGGCCAAATGTGCCATTCAATCATCTCTACAGTGCTTGATGAACTCAGAAGCATGGAATATCCCTCAGGGATTCGTCGTTATCAGAAACGTTATCCTTTTAACCTTTATTCGAAAAAGCACGAGTATTACAGTAGTTACAGGTGCTCTTGAATGTTGAATGCAATATGAAAATTAGTTCGCCCCGTCGCCGAAGCTAATCAAATTCTCAGTCCCTCTTGAGTCCGGAAATTAGCACCAGAGTGATCAAGGAGGATAAAAACACCGACATGGTATATCCGAAGGCTCTCCTTAGTTCTATGTTACAAGACAAAAATGGACGTTAGCCACTGTACAATAGATGTATATCAGCTCTCATGTCATCGGTTCGTCAAGACATAAATAATCAACACCGATATTAGTAGAAAGTCGGTGATACAAGTGATATGTATTCGTCCCTATTCTTATTGAATTTGGCTAGTCATCAAGGATGAAGTATTCGTGATAGAGTGCATTTGAGAGGAAGTCGATAGTGCTGATTTGATAATAACAACCTGAAGGATGAAGAAAGTGCGCTAAGGAGTGAGCATCATTTCTAGTTTGATCGGTTGCTTACACAGTGATCTGAGTGCAACCGTTCTTTTTTGTTCTGGAAGATCTACAGATGAGCACAATTTCTGATAGGACACCGGGAAATTCGCCGAACTTCTCAACGACCTCACTGCAACCAAAACCGTAAGTTCAGCGTCACTGCTCACCCAGTACAGATGGAATGTTCGAAATATTCAACATTGAAACACCACTGAAGGTCGTACGTGTGCAGTTTAAGAGCCAACATTCGACTAAGCCATCCAAGATGCTGACGATGATCCTAAGTCTCAACGTTGTGGCAAAACGGAGGAAAGTAACATAGCGTTCGAAGGGACTAAATACTACAGTGTTTTCAAACGATTTTAAGAGAAGATATAGAAAACATATCACTTTTAAATTTCACTTCACTAAGATCACGTGCTATCGTCTATGTTACCGAAGTGTTGAACAACTTAGCGAGTGCAATGGCTGGAGAGGCCATGAAATACACACGTGGTCGCTGTTTCAATCCGCCAACCAAGTTGTATTCCTCCAAGATTTATAAACGGGTACTAAACCTGTTTGAGTGGATAAAAGCTGAAAGGAGGCCGAAAGGCATTGTAATAGGTAAAATATGCATTCAATCACCTCTACAATTCTATACATGGACTTGAATTCATGTGGCAATCCCCTGGAATTGATTAAAAGTCGGAAACAATCATACTATTACCATAGTGTATGTATTCGTATAAGCGTGTGGTGCAGTGGTTGGAGGCGCCACTGCGACACACTTGGAATCTATCCCCGCGCCCATAGCCCACCAAGCCCTCCATCCCTCCGGGGTCGGCAAATTGGTACCAGACCTGTCTGGGAGCATAGCAACACTTGCTCGATACATCGGTAGACCACCGCGACTCATTGTAAAGGCCAGATATGCATTCAATCACCTCCAACGATACTTAATGAAGTCGAATGCATGGCGCATCCCTCAAGGATCGATCAACGCCGACAGCTTTATTCATTATCCTTTATGTATTCGTATTTTAGCTAGCGCTATTTTCAATGATCTCCTAGGCGTAGGCAACGAAGTTCTCAATTTCGCTTGTTAACTCAGAAGTCTGCTAGAAGCGCAGCTATACAGGCTACGAAGACTCATCAAAATCTTTTTCAACAGATTTCATAGGATGAACTACGATTCTCCTGAGTTGGCAAGAACATACTATTTACTATTTGAGCACTAGTTAAGGGAGCGGTTCAACTGCTCGATTCTAATGGTGAGCTCAATGGGTGTGATACAGTTGGTGGTGCAGTGGATAGCAGTTAACGTCTCCTCATTCATTGCTCAGGGTCTAATATTATTTGTCGCTGCTTACTCGTATGAGGTTCGTCGTATACATAAATCCTTCATTATCAACTTTGCTGAATTTTTTTCTTCACAGTGGAATAGCGTACACAGCGAATCGTTGACACGACATCGTCGTGCACATTTCGACATCGCGAACGTACTCGAGACTTATCAACCACGGAACAGAACAATGGGACATCTGTTCCAGGTACGTGCCTTGCTCAACTCTCAGAACTCTGGGCAAATACTAATCGCATTAACGTGAATATGACAAGAGTTACGATCTCGTTATGGTCTCATCGAGTACGAGTTTATGAAAAAGTAGTTGTGCTCTCGAACTGGTGTCTTTTCTAGTATAGATAACAATGGTAGCAATGATAACAACAATAACAGAACTTAACTGGATTCATTGCGATTTGGGCTCTCCAGAGCAATCCCGCTGACGTGGGTGATTGCTGATGGCACTGATCGATAAAACTAGGAGAGAAACAGGCGAAACGAAGGACCCACATGGTGTGCTGGTGAACGCGTTAGGTCCGGAATGGGTAATAGCATTCGTTCTCCACCGAAGACAACTGAGGTCCGGAGTTTTGCAAATATCTCAGCAACGTTGTGGTTATCTCAGCATCATTTAAATAATAGGACTCATTAGTTCGCGCATTGGAAACCAAACAATGTAAAATGACTTAAAGGTTGACAGCAAAAAACATCCAGAGATAGGGTGACGAACGTAGTTCAGCCGAAAACTACACATTGCTGGACAGTCCTGTCGTTGTATACGAAAAGAACTGATAGGCCAGGCACTAGAAATATTGTTTAGCCAGAGCCACCTACACCTGGAAATGTGGCAATAACGGAGACGAGTAGTGAAGAAGACGGCAAGAAATCGGAATTCATCAATCATAGAGATGCGGTAGAGTTTGTGACGTTCAGTTCAGACGAGTTTTTCTCTTCTATGGCGCTAGTTTCCTCTTGCAGCACTATGCCAACATGTTCACACATGCCATGCAACGAAATAAGGAAATGGACACGATGAATAAGGTTTGAGTTTTCTGTGTCCCGACGCATTTTCACAGAACTGAATGGTGATGCATTTGCTTTCTGGCCGTTTATTTTACCCTGTAGAGCTTCTTTGCTGTGGTTTTTGTAATTACTCGATAGCTTACTAAATACAGAAGCCATGGCGAAAATCGTATATGAAGTCGCGAAGAGGATGAGGCTAGCCAGAGTGATAGTGGCGCTGTTCAATAATACGCCAGGTTTGATCCTATCACCAGTGAACCAAGCCCCCAAACTGCAGTGATTGATCGCTGGCAGACCCGTCTGGAATTAGCTCGCTTCCTCCAATTCACGAAAGCTGGTGACTGTGTATGATTACTTGGGATCGCCCTAACACGGCTCTCGTTCGAATCCAGGAAGGATCCACTCAGTCAGTATTCAACGGGATTCAGAAGACTAAGAAAACCTCAAGCAACAGCTGAACTCATACAGCAGTTGGAAGATCTTCGTGAAACTTGGATATGAACAAACAATTCGAAAGCAAGGAGTGCTGGGACCCTGAACATAATCTACAAAACGCTTTCAAATTCTGAAAATAATGTGGTTCAAGAATGGACTTGAGAATGACAAACCATAATAAGGAAAACATAGATACTCTTAGAGCAATGAACCAAAACCCCTTCCATAATTACGCCGTGTACTCAACCCCCACTCCATTAGTTGAGAGCATATTTTGCCTTTATACCGCCTTGCTGTGTTCTAGAAACGCTTCAAGTCAGTGTTTCTATCTTCATAGACAAGTATAGCACCAATTTCCTGACTCAGAGAGGTGGACTTGGTTTGCTAGGGCAAAGGATTGAACCAAGGACACCGCATGAAATTCTCGCTGGAATCCTGGTATATCCATGATAGTGCGTTCCCAAGTCCGCGTTCTTAAGCAATGGCAGCTTTTGTGAACATCATAGAAATCTCCTCCAGACAAGTCTGGTAGCAATTTGTCGTTCCTAGAGGTAAGGAATGCTTGATTGGACATGAGCTATGCCGAAGCAGAAACCATGCGCCTATTATTGAACAACGCTTCTAATCACTGCTCTTAACTCTTTGAATAACTGCAGTGAAGTACAGGGTAATCACCAATAGAGCTTCTTCGACGTCATTTTCTTGTCGTTCTTCTGAAAGAAAGAACTTATGATGCATATCGAAATTAATTGTTACAGAGCGTTGGTGCTTCACTAGACGGTGAACAGACTGAGAACGTCGTTCTCACACCTGCCGATCCAGTCAGAGATCAGAAGGAATATGAGGAAAAGAAAAAGAAAGATGCCGAAGAGTATCAGAAGCAATTCGACAAGCCGTTTAGTTGTTAACCCTACGGATCGCAGATAGATCTTTGCCTTAAACAACATACATACGTCGATCAAGACAGCTAGCCTATTGACCGTACTATAACAAGCTAACAACAGACTTCTGAGCACGCATGTTTCCTTGCAATAATTTATTTATAAATATTATTTTTATGGCAGTAACTATTATGCCATGGTTCATGTTCGCCGCGAAAACTGGTAGCATTGAAAGTTTGTTATCCCAGGGAACCATAACCGAGTTTCTTGACTCCTTACAATTGACAACTGAAAGCGTGTCTCGTTATGACTGTCTCCTTATGATTTCTCATATTTTCTGTTTAGTTCTATGGTGACATATCCTCGAGTGAATAAATTATTTTAGCAAATGATTTAACCTACTGACGACGGTATGAGTCATATGTTAGTCATGAGCTTGGTGGCAAGCTGAGGAGCAGATTCCGCTTATGTGTTACTACACATGACTCATTTCCTTTTTGTACCGTTTATTTTCTCTCACATAGCTTCTTTTCTATGGTTTTTCTCACGTTCAATTGCTTATCCAACAAAGGTGATGTGGCGGTCATCGGCCGAGAAAACCTCCATCCTAAATTTAGTAATTTGCGAAGAAATGCCGATATCTTACAGTATTTTCAGGAAAGAAGAAGCGAATTTGTGTAGAACACCGTTGTAACGATAATTTTCATATGCGCTGAAGCACATAATGTAAATGAATCTCCTAAATGGACATTTGTGATGTCTACAACCTACTAGTAGACTAGCTTTAATAGACTGTAGGAAGAAGGACAGCGCTTTTAGCAATGAAGGAGATAAGATGAACTAACACGCACGAAGGTACAATCCATTCGGTTACAGAGCTAAACGATCAAAAAGAGAAACTTTACTGTTCGCTCTTGCACAAGTTCCCAGTGAATTGGAAACTTCACTCGCTTTCTTTTTAGAAAAATACTTTTGCACTTTTTGAAAAAAAAGAAGATTAAGGAACTTTGGAACGCTGGAACAACATACCAACGAATCATCACAAAGTCACATCCATGAATTAGCACGATTCATCTTCTGCGCGGTGGCATTCCCTCTTGCAAGCTGAAATACTTTTCTATTTCAGCCAGTAACCAAATGTACTGGTTACCTAGATCGGCATTGGAGTACCCATTATCCAATAAAAACTATTCCCTGTATCACTTGTAGTTCCGTTGATCGTCGAGTGACTCGAGCAGACGCCTGTAAATCTATTTTTCCCTCTCGCGTTCAAGAGTAGCCTAGTGGGTTCTGCTCGATCTAGGAATTCGTTGCGCATCATATTGGGAAGTAAATGGTAAACTGCAATATACATGCTAGTTGGCGCAACGCTCTATTCTGAGCCATCCAAATCCTCAGTACCCTTATGGTATGCAAATTGTCTGCGAGGAAAAGCGAAAAAACGCTGATTTGTTGCATCGGCACGTTCTCAAAAGTCACTACTGGCTTTAAGCAGCTCTACAATGTTACGAACGAAGCCGAATGTATGAGACACCCTCAACCTTACCGCCCGGCGCAGTTTTTCGTCGCTGGCCCAATCGGATACGAGAAATTCTTCATTGGCCGCGTTGGCTATTACTACCCTTGATATGAAGATGATGAAACTGAGTCAGTTGATTTAACTTCAATGATGCTGAGATATTTGCAAAACTCCGGACTGCAGGTGTCTGCGGTGGAGAACGAACGCGCTATTGTCCTTTTTTGGGGAGTAACGCGTTTTTCACCGTGCCATGCGGGTCGTTTTTTGCGCCTATATCTCAGCTAGTTCTATCGACTCTGCCATTAGCAATCACCCGTCAGCGGGAGTGATCTGGGGAGCCTAACTCGGCAACGAACCCAGTTAAGCTGAGGCTATAGTTATAATAACAATATTAGCTTATTATTTACTGCCTACTCTTTTTAATGGCAGGGTATATTGCGAAATATAACTTAAATGTTGCTGAGATATTTGCAAAACTCCGGACCGCAGGTGTCTGCGGTGGGGAACGAACACACTATTGTCCTTTCTGGGGAGTAACGCGTTCACCACCACACCATGCAGTAAGTCAGTTGATTTCGTTGTAATATGGCATATTTACTCCAGAGCCACAATCTATTTTCGTAACCATAAGGAGTACCGAACCAGCCCTTCTCTTTTACTTCACAATAGATCTTCATGGTTTGCTAACCCGCTTTCCGCCTCGCTATCGCATCTCGTGGTTGGCCCAATCGAATGCTAGCGATTTTTCGTCGACTGCCCAAACAGTAAAACACGTCAGCGGCTCATCGTAATGCCAATCAATACCCGCTACTATGCTGATTTCCCGATGATTCGCCATATTTTTTCTTTAGATTAATAGGCTTTAGAGGTTTTAACTCCCACCTTGAGTGTTTATGTTATGTGCTCTGTACCGCATTGTGTTCTATTCCTTACTCCCACAACCGCGTTGCTGTCAGCATCTCGCTTTTTTCTGTTAATTCATTTCGAAATTTCCCTCATTGGTAGGACATTTATACATCCAATCTGCCGTCAGTGATTTTTCCTATTGATGGTAAAAGAAATAACAGTGGGTTGTTGAGCGAGGGTTCGAACCTTGTATACCTTAGATAACGGACTACGAAGTTTTTCTACTTGTGCTATCTTCTTCAATTCTCTCAGTGCTTTTTTAGTTAATTTGACATTTGAAGAGTTAAGGACTTGACACACTTATAAAAATTGGTTGTTTTATTTTAACACTTGCCCTCATGTGGCTACAGTTTCTAGTTGATATATGCTTATTATGGGCGCGTGTGGCCCAGTGGTCAGAGGCCCCCTGAAATACACATACACATGGGATCGATTGCCGGCGCCCCTGGCATAACAAGCCATGCTCTCCAAGGATGCCGAATCCGAAAGCACAAAAGCCGTCAGCAAGTACACCTCGAGCATGAAGAAGATTGCTTTACTTGGGTGTAAAAACTTATCCCAACGTCTCTTTTTTAGGATCACAGTTGTAGCCGGAGACGAAACTCGTTTATCCGAATAGGTCTTTTTTCTATCAATATTAATGTTAAAAGTTGAAGAAAGAGATAGTTTCGGACTTTGGCTTTTTGGTGACACAAGAAGTTACCATTTAAAAATGGGCTTCGAAGACAATCACAGTTATTTTTAAACAAGTCAGCCTTCAGTTTTCGAATACAGGCAGCCCAATTCTGAGGTTTTAAAAATCAATCAAAAGAAAGTGCAGATAGCTAATGTTGAGGTTACGACTACACCCACGTACTAGACATACAAAGCGAGATCACATTTTTTGTGAAAACGTACCATTGCGCACGTTTCTATCCTGTTCTTCTGCTGTACACATGCAGAGCATAGGAAACGAATGCTGTGCATATTCCCTGAAAATATCTCCACGTACTTGAAAACGAGACCGCGTTAAATATTCTGTCGTTTAAATAGCTCAAATGGCGACATAATCGCGCGAGAGGTTCATTGAGTATCTAAGAAGTACTTTAAGGAACTGAGATTTTATTAGGAGAAGAATTTGAATGGGTCGACATCAATGAATTTGAATCCTTTGACGAAGAAGCGTTTTTCTTGAAGTTTGAATCTTTTCTTTAGGTTTTCACTCGAAACGTGTTTGCCCATTCTGGTACTACTGTAATACTCGGCAGTCTAAGATTGCTGATGGCAAAAAGATCGATAGAACTAGCTGAGAGATAGACTAAACGAAGGACCCGGATGGTGTGGTGGTGAAGTGCGCTGCTCCCCGATAAGGACTACAGCTCGGGTTCGTTCCCCACCGTATACACCTGCGGTCTGGACTTTTGCAAATATTTCAGCATTATATATGAGTTATATTTCGCAACATACCCTGCCATTAAAAAGAAAAAGGCAGTAAATAAAAGGGTTAAGATTATCTAAGTTTCATCAAAATTATACCATTACTAGATTTATGCATTAAATCTGAAGCCTTTAGCCCAGCTTTCAGCCAAACAGCTCAACGGTGTTAGTTTTAGCGCAAAACCACGATACTGGCGTTTAGCGCGGCACCATGGATTCACGTACTTATTTTTTTCACTAGCGATGAAATACCATATTTCGTGTTGGCGAAATAAATAAACGTATACCTTGTTCGAAAGTATTTGTGGATAACAACAGCTCAATCTAGGCATTGAGGATGTTGAAACAAAAGTGTCGGATGAAGTGTACGCACGAAAATGTTAGAGGATGGCTATCTTGAATAGTACTTTTTCGGAGTAAAAAAATAGGATTTTGGCAGCTTTTTCGGTACTAAGTGTTCTTCTAACATCGCCATCTCAAGTGGTGTTCATTTCTGCGACGTTTGTCCCAACACAGTCACTAAATAGCGACAACTGGCAAATGTGTTGAGGCGGGTGTGGCTTTAGAAGAAAGTGCGCAAGATTATACCGATTGCACAAAAAAGTCTGAAATCGGAATAGCCTACTCTTAGAATAGAAGAACGTCATAAACGAGCCATTCATTTTCCTCAACAATTAAAAACTGCTGGAGTTCTTGAGAATTTCTGCCGTGTGAATCCTTCGAACTATTTTTTGCGGCATTTCAGACGGAGTCAAAATGAAGTGCACCTTTGCCCAACGCTTCCATATCTTAATGAAACAACTTCATGAATTCCTGAGAAATTGGTGTTATTGTTTAGTTGTCCAATATTTTAAAGGATTAAAGTTGAAAATAAGGTCGTTATGTTTCGTCCAACTTAAGTGGTACCATATTATTAATGAACTGCGGGTTAGCACTGTTTGCTTTATTCCTTTGCTTTCAAATTGTCTTAATTTTACCAATTATGCGGAACCGATGCATTGTAGCACCACGACTCTAAGCGAATCGACGGACGGTGAATACGGCAAGTTGGCCGCGCCCCTAGCACAAATTGGCCCCGTCTCCAGCATTGGGTTTGTAAAAGGGCGGTGGATAGGGGCACATCACTTATTCATCAGCTAGCGACTAACCCATGGTTCGCACCAAGCAGACCGCTCGGAAATCGACTGGGGCGAAGGTCCCGCAGCTGGCGGTGAAAGGTGCTCGAAGGTGGCCACCGCCCACCGGTGTTCTGACCAAAGCCCATCGCCATCGTCGTGGAACCGTCGCTCTGCGCGATATTCGCCATTACCAGAAATCGACGGAGTTGCTGATCCACAAATTGCCATTCCAACGTCTTGTGCGGGAGATTGCACAACGTTTCATGCTGGACTCGCGGTTCCAGTCTTCAGCTGTAATGGCTCTTCAAGAAGCTGCAGAAGCATATTTGGTTGGATTGTTCGTAGACACGAACTTACGCGCGATCCATGCGAAGCGCGTGACAATTATGCCCAAGGACATCCAACTGGCGCGTCGGATTCGAGGAGAACGAGGCTAAGCGAGCAATCGTAGTCTGATTTTGACCAAACGACCCTCTGTAGAGCTACAGCTAGCACAACAGGAACACGTTATTCTTTGTGAATGAAATAAATTGTTCGCTTTTATTAGTAGTAAAGTGGTGTTTCAATGCTACCTACTGTCTATAGTGAGGGTTAATAATGAGTGAGATGTAACTTGATAAAATAAGATATGACGTTATATTTACACCTATACTGATGTGAACAATAGATATGAGTACTAGGTAGTTACTGTTAACAAGCAATCTGTGGAAATGTACAATCACAACGGTTACGGTTGGATAGGCTAGGGATAATGTACGTCAACATCATGTTGAAAACCCTAGAATAAATCTTGAATCTTTAGTTATGGCTGTCTGATGGAAAATGTCTTCGTATGGCACAGTGGAAATTTACATAGAGTTCAGTGCCGACTACACCATACAGCACCTACTTGGGCATGCTCCTAAGACAGTACCACACCACCTAGTCGTGAATCCGATTCCCAAGCTTTTAAGTTGAACGGTAGTCAAAACAGAAATATCGAATTCTTTGATTCTTTTTTGAAGATCGAAGAAAAGCATCGATACCTTCGATGAAAACCACAGGCGGCGTGTTCAAAGTCATTGTACTCGTCCAAAAAATGTGGTAATTATGATGGCCCACATACTTATGGTAGTCGTTATTGTGGCAATGGGTTCGCAACGTGCGGACCCGTCCATGCTTGTGTAGAAGGCACTGTGCCAGTGGCGCCGCACATCACTCATGAGAGTCGCAGCCGCTCGATTGTCGTAATGTCTGGGCGTGGAAAAGGAGGCAAAGGTTCTGGGGAGAGGAGAGGAAATTCTTTCGCAAAATGCTCAGGGTCAAGATCCGGAATATCACAAAGCCAGCTCTGGCTCGCCGTGTTGGTGTGAAGCGTATCCTCTGGACTGATCTACGAGTGGACCCATGGAGTGCAAAATATCTTTCTGGGGCTTTGGTGTACCCATACATGGGCAAATCTATTTGTTCATCACCGGACTGAACACTTACGTGGTTGCTTGTTTTGCTCGATGGCAATACATCATAGTTTCAAATACAATACATCAATTCAATACAATTCAATACATCAAATCATAGTTTCGCACTAACACTGAAAAATCCTGGATACCAGCAGGGAATTCACAGATGCGAAAGGTTACTTATTCTTAGCGCATGGTGTGATGCCCGTTTCACATAGATTTTTTAAAAAGCACTTATCAATGGAGAAGGGCGCGTGTGGCGTAGTGGCCGGAGTCGCCCTGCAACACACACGTGTAATCGATCCTCGTGTCCATGGGCCACCAAGCCTTCCATCCGTCCGGGGTCGGCAAATTGGTACCGGTCCTGTCTGGGAGGATAGTAACACTGGCTTGATAGACCGGTAGGCAACCGCTAGTCATTGTAAAGGCCACATATGCATTCAGTCACCCAAACGATGCTTAATAAAATCGAATGCATGGCGCGTTCCTCAGGGATTGATCAACGTGGACAGCTTTATCCTTTATCAATGGAAGAAAATGGACATGCTTCATCCATTCTGCGCCGGCGCCGTTTTTCGTAGCTGGCCGAGTGCAAGCAATTCCTCATCGGCTGCAGACTTCCAGGCACTTTCTTTTTGACAATAAAAGATCTTTGCTCGGTAACCAGAGTCCCTTTGGAGTGATGGACATGACAGGATCGCGGAAGAGATTTTGCTTTGTCGTTCTAGGAGAATGAATTATATCTATGCTACTTTTTACGGTATACTACTATAGTCTGTATTGTAAATGTATTACTTGTAGTTTATGTTGAGCCAATTTCGGTTTCTTCATACCCACACATCCCGTGCAACAACCATAGCGATTAAAACGGAGCAACAATGAATTAGTAGTCAAATTATCGGCCAATGAACCCTTTCAAGAAGAGGTTTTTTGTGAGTTATCAAGTTAAGAGGACGGATTTTTCTAGGTTCACCCCTCCCATTTCGATCTACTCTCGATTGGCTATCGAATGAATATACACAGTGCGGTAAAGAAACTCTGGAACGCACTAAACTTAATATGGACACTGGTGCCTAAAGGGTGGTTTGGCGCAAACCGTTATGGACATTGGAGTGTCCATGAGGGGCAGAAGGGTATTAATACAACAGAAAGACGACTACCACTGTGGTACAGCGTTTACAGAAGTGTCCGACTACAGGCAAGCCCCAAACGATAGAAGTGCTCCATTCTGTTGCACAGGACAATGTTTCATCTGAAACAATTTGAAAAATGTAATGTAGTACAGGCCTACTAAGTATAATATAACGTATACAGTTCAGGTTGTTTTCCCTTTAATACGAAAATTGGCCATATCCATTGCCCTCAGTTCACACGTGCCACAGTAATTTGGACGGTATGCATTGATCACAATGTACACTGCGCGCAGCAAAAAATTCGTCTCGCACGTGCTATCATGCGGCTTAAAAACAACTGCTTTTAAATGACCATGGGGACAGGGTAGTAATTTTTTATAATGTAATTGCAATCTTAGAATTCCGCTTACATATTACCTATGCTAAGTGACATTTAAGGAGTGCATAAAGAATTAGTACGGGGAAGATATGTATTGATTTTATGTTTTTGATTCTTCCTTACTAGATTTGAAAACAAGACAAAGATTAGACATAAACGTTCGTTGACATCATGGTAGTCGCTGTCTCACTTCTTTCTTCCTGTGTAGTGTACAAGCGTTCAGTTACCCGATGAATGGCTGACTATCGATGATTTATTGTTGAAATCAGTGCTAGTTGTCCTATTTCTAGAGGTAAGTGCATGCTAATTGTTGTAGATGAAGTTGTAGAGCAATCTGTTTGACATGGATGATCATCGACGGGCTTGATAATCAAGAAACTCGACATTGTGAACGAAATTAACACATACGCGACTGCTGTCGATTTCGTGATGTTAAGGATGTCCTCGGCCTGGATGGCTCTGATGAGGACTCGTTTGGTGGTGAAGATGGAGCGGTTTCTGGAAGCAGTATTGACGAAGCAGATCCCGACTTCGATGTTTGTGTAAGATCATAACGTTCTTCAGAAGTAATTTTTGTGGTAGTTCTGTTCAGGTAGCTTTATTTTATCCTTTAAGAGTTCTCATATCATATTTGCCATAATTTCCGGGAACCATTGTGTCATCATTATTTGTTTAAACTTGCTCGAACTTCCGAAGAAGTGCATACGAGGATTTCATCGTAAATCGCACCAGGAAGTGAACACACTGTCCTCAATGCATACTGAATTTTATTCATGTCATTGAAGGTCAGGTGCTTCCTGTGCAGTTGTAAAACTCTGCTTCTCGGTAGATCATTCAGAAAGCTGTTGACGGGCTAAGCACTGTTGTTCTACTACCAGTTGTTCGTAGAGAAGTGGGCACAAGAATAGGGCGGTATCGAATACTATCACAGGTATGCGCATTTCTTCTTTCCTTGTTACTATCAGTGTATTCGCCTATACGTTTTAAATTTATAAATTTTCAACGTTAGAGGAAACTTATTTCTCAGTCTTTCGCTTTGGTTTTGTTTTCAAGCCATTGGATTTGAAACGAACAAGTATTTGAATGATCCATTGACCATGAAAGTCGAAGTGGTTGGAAATCAGAGATTTCGAGTGATCTCAGTGGACGGAACGTCCAGGTAAGTGGTGCATGAGCGTTATTGGTCATTGTTTGTTTTTCTGGTTGTTTCAAACGACTTGAATTTGACGCAATATTCTGCTGGTACTCTGTAGCTGATGATAAGTGATGTTGAACACTAAAAGCTAAAAAGCTCGGCATTGATCAATCCCTGAGAGATGCGCCGTGCAGTCGACTTCACTAGGCATCGTTGGAGGTGACTGAATGGATATCTGACCTCTACAATGACTCCAAGTGGCGTTCCGTTGTATGAGCCAGTGTTATTGTCTTTCCAGTCAAGTCTGGCACCAATTCGTCAACTCCAAAGGGATGGAGGGCTTGGTGGGCCTTGAGCGCGTGGATCGATTCCATTTGTATTGCAGGGCTCCTCCGCCCACTGCACTAGCCGCTTCAGTGCTATAGAATATCAGCATCAGAAATCGCTTCAACTTTTAATTTTTTGGGAAATGATGCGCGTTCTAAGGTAGAAAAAGAGTGCCGCATTTGGATTTTCTAGATATTTTAGTACGCTAATGGAATGGAAGTTTTGCGAATATAATGTAACACTACCTTTGAAGGGGATTTCCCAAGAAATGTTTGGAAGACGAAGGAGAAGAAAATTTTATTGGCAGGATAAATGATGCTTACTTATCTATTAATTTGTATATAGAAGACTGCTCTCTCTGAGTGCAGATGTGTACAAGATTTCTTCGTTCATTGTCAAGAACACAAACCTGGTGTGTTCCATTATTTTCTCTACCCTAAGCATTTTTGTTACTGGCTTGTTGGTTGCGCATTTAGGAAGCCCAATGTGAACACTTGGTTCATGGATAAATATGTGGTTTTCAAGCGAAAAGATTGAGCGCGAGTTGAGCCTGGTAAAAATCTTTTGAACACTTGTCTAGTATTTTATGTTGATCTTATTTTGTTCTTACTTCTTTCGAATTTCAGAGTCTTATCAGCTTCAGTTATTGGGCAGCTAGGAACATTTTGATTACGTTTTGTGCTAAATATGAACACTTAGAGGAGGAAACAGATTTGAGGACTGAAAACCTGTTGCATTTGGTCAACCAGGTGAGTGAATAGGTAGCTACTTTTGTGCGATGCAGTTTCATGGAATAGTTTTAGATGCTAGACTTTTTTTGTCGGGTTGAGGCTTGTTGATTTGCAGTGTTCAAGACATTGATACTTGATACTTGAATGACTCGTCCTCACTGGTTGTGCGGGCCCCAGCATAATCTTCATTTTTCGGAGAGCTGGTTAAACCATTATCGTTGCCTGTAGTCCCGAAGTCAGCCTAGCTAAAATCAGCCACAGGTCTTCACCACGACAGGCAGTTGCAGCCTTTGTGGATCAGAGGGAGATTTACCACCATGCGACTTTGATACCAGGACGGTGGTGGATCCTGGTATTGTCTTACTCTTAGCTAAGCTTCCTGATGGAAACGCCGGACTCCTTCGCAGCTTAGGAGACCCTGCCAGTGGATGAATCCCCCACTGTACATCGCAGTCAGACACCGAGGAACACCTACCAGCCACGATGAGGCGGTAAACCGTTGGGAGGCAAGAAGAGTCATACAAGAGACAACCAAGACATAGTCGATATCAATAATGATGGAACCACCTCCCACTCCGTTAATAGTGGTAGGTTGAAAGTGAAAATAAGCAGTTTCATCAGAACTAGAACAATTGGCTTTCATAAAATGGAGGATAAGATAAGGCGTTGATCTATCCTTGAGAGATGCGTCATCCATTCAACTTCATTAAGCATCATTTGGAGGTGATCGAATGCATATCTGGCCTTTACAATGACTCGCGGTGGCCTACCGATGTATCGAGCAAGTGTTGCTATGCTCACAGACAGGTCTGGTACCAATTTGCCGACCCCGGAGGGATGGAGGGCTTGGTGGGCTATGGGCGCGGGGATAGATTCCAAGTGTGTCGCAGTGGCGCCTCCAACCACTGCACCACATGCGGCCTTATTGGCTTTCATAGAATGCTAGAAATATCTGCTAGATATGGGAGATTCAGATCCAATCACTGCACAATTGTACTAACATGTGTAATCTATCTTACGATATATTCATGAGATGATAACTGTCTCTGTTGCTGAAAATTTCGTCCGTCAGGAGCAGCCATCTGCGGCGTTTAGCTGATTTCCAAGGTAAATGGTTCCCTATTTACTGTTTTCTAGATTTCCAATCAAAAGAACATCTTGCAGTTACAAGTAGCAATTTTGTGAATGCCGTTTCTGTATGGTCCATTTGGGTCGGGAATTTACCTAACGTCGTTTCAATCCCGCTTATTTTATGGAATGGCGAGGAAGACGGTGGTTCTTCGGAAAGCGACGGTTGATAGTGAGGAGTCAGTTTGAGACTAAATATTGCTCGTGTTTAATATGGTTTGTTCGTAACAGAAATTACAGAACTAGTCACTCAGTACTGAATAGTATTAGTAGCATTAGTCTAGTAGTACTGTTTATTAGTACTTACTACTAGCAATAGTAATACTAGTAGAACCACATACTATCACTTATTAGTACTTAGTACTGGTACTTGCTGTTTATTACTACTTACTATCATATTCTTATTAGTAGTATTAGTCTTACTCTGCCGAGTAGTATTATGTTGTTGCTTCATGCAGTTGTACATATGTAGTTTTTCGTGTAGGTATGATAAGGTCTTGTTTCTATACCTTCTTAGATTTTCATTTTAGCATTTGGCCACTAGGCTGCCTGAGCTCTTAATCCAAAAGTGTTCTGACTACTTGTTTTCACGCCTATGCAAACTACTCGCTCTACGGCTTCTAAAATAAAAATTTTGAAACGTCACTGCATTCATTATGTAGCACTTGGTCGTTGACTGTTCCATCCCAATGGCGGTGTCCCACTGAATTCAGCTTCTACTACCTTACTTATCTCAATTTTCTTTGTAGTCATGGCAGACATCAAGCCGAACCACACTATCTATATTAACAATCTTAATGAGAAGGTTAAGAAGGAAGGTAGGTGGAAGACTGTTTTGCCCGTCTTTTCGTGAAATGCACTTAATGCGCTATCTTGCAGAGCTAAAGAAAGCCCTGTACGCCATTTTCATGCAGTTCGGAGAAATCGTCAGTATTATGGCCTTCAAGACTTTGCGTATGAGAGGCCAGGCACACATTATTTTCAAAGAGGTAACTCAGTTTACTACTAATATTGTTACATCCTATGTTATTTGTTTAGAAGGTATCCACCAAATTTCCAGATTTCTTCAGCGTCAAACGCATTGTGTGCAATGCAAGGATTCCCGTTCTATGATAAGCCAATGGTTTGTTATTATATTCACGAAGAGTTTAATTTAACTGACTATGTGTCCACTTTCGTCCCAACGGTTTACCACTTCATCGTGACTGTGACGTGTTCCTGGGTGCCGGGTTACGATGTACAGTGGAGGAATTCATCCCCTCAGCGGGACCTCCCAAGCTGAGGAGTCGGAGTTTCCATCAGGAAGCTCAGCTAAGAGTGAACCAATACCAAGATCCACCACCGTCGTATCAATATATCAATGTCGCATGCTGACAGATCAAATAGACCTCTGATCCACAAGAGCGTCGAATGCCTGTGGTGGTGACGAACTGGTGTAGACTTTGGCCTGGGTGACCTGGGAATTCTAGGAATTCACAATGACTAAAGCAACAAAACTCCGAAAACATGGAAATTATGCCGGGCCCCGCACAACTAGTGAAAGCAGGGCCATCTATCTATCCAAGTAAGTAAGTTAGTAAGCATATCCAGTTTGGTAGAACATTCAAAACGCTTTTCTATTTAGCGCATTCAATATGCACGTGAAGACTCCGATATCATTGCTAAGGCCAAGGGCACTTATGTTGAACGAGCACCTCGAGTTCCAATGCGTACCCAAAAGAAGAAGAAGGTACTGTTGGTTTACAGAACTAGAAGGACATATGTCTCAAAATAGCATACTTAGCACATTAGTGGCAACGCCAGGCTTTGTGTGGGGTCCACATCGGACCATTGGCTAATTTGTCGCCGCACGTGCTGCCAGTTGAAGCTACCTCATACGGGATACGTAATGAGAAATCTTTTGTACTAGTGTTTGACAATCTTGAAGAAGTCGAATCGGAAAATGAGGATGAAAATGATGTGGTGAATGACCAAAAGTGCTGCATTAGGACCGAAAGTTACTCAATAACAGGACTTTGGATTGGTCTACAAGGTGGGTTGTATAGAACCGATGCATTTATGTTATACGTAACTAGTGTTTGAGATCTCATTGTGTATAAGACAAACATATACTGGAATAGAAGGACCAATTCGAACCCATAATTTCTGAAGTAATGAAAAGTTCCATGCCTTCGGATGGGTGACATGTTAGGCTACCGGTTGGGGTACTACTGGATTTCGAGTTTGAGCGTCGCAAAGTGTCCTGCCATGACCGGAGCTATATCAAGGGATAAACTTATAGTTGTTGGCTAATCTCCATTTATTCGATAATGCTACGTATGCTGTGTTAAACAAGCCGTACAAAGTTGGTTGACTTACCAAATTTCCTAACTGTATTCTTGCAAGAAAGTAGAGCACGGGTCAATCCCTGCGGGATGAGCTGTGCACTTGACTTCGTTGAGCATTGTTAGAAGTGACTGAATGCATATTAAGCTTACACAATTACTCATGGTGGCCTGCCGATGTATCGAGTCAGTGCTGCTATCCTTCCCAAGTAGCTATAGTACTAATTTGCCGAACTTGGAGTGGCGGAAGACTTGGGGAGCCTGTGGCACTGGATCAAACCCATGTTTATTGCAGAGCGCCTCTAACCACTGAGCTACACGCGCTCCTTCCGTTTTATGTTCTTGGACGAGAATAAAAATGGATGAGAACGAAAATGCAAGAATATACAAGTCGGAAAACTCTGTATTGATTAGCCATGGTGCCGTTTAAAGAGAGGACTATGTGTGCCACTATGTCCCATATTAGAAAGCTGAGTGAGATGAAGTAATTGTGGGATCATCTTGTTCAATTTGTCCATGAGGGGCGACTACACATGCAAACAAACCATTACGTGTCCGTAACTATGTTTCCAGAATAAGATGTGGATTAATTCGTGTCGTTGAAGCTCATGGACGGTTTGGTGGTTGCGAGATGAGATCCTGTATATCAATAGATGTGTGTCAGTGCCTCGTTTTCTACGAGATTGTCCATCACATTTTTCTAATGAACGCTGACATGACAATCAGTAAACGACATTCCTAGTAGAAGCTTAAGAGATGGCAGTGGAGGGGACACAAGTCGAAGCAGTACAATGTTGTTTGAGTAAAAAGAGGACGTTACTGTGATTTCCACCGTGTATTATACCACTCTTTTGGAAACTCATCAGGATTCAACTTGTCGTATGATGCAGCGAGGAGAAGTTCTAAGTGAATCCAAACGACCAGGTGGCGTCATGTTCTCAGCATTTCAGGAAAAGCTAACGTGATATGCACGTCATTACCTCTTCATTCTTGGGTATATCTGCTGTCTGCTTGGTTATTCTGCTAACCCAGAACTTTCCATGAACACCTATAGATCTATTTCAAAGATATAAAAGACCTTATAAAATTCGAGATCCAAGGTTGTTCCTGTGCGATGCTGAGCGGTAGAGTTCCTGCATTCTTAGTTTACCATGCTGTAGAAGAGACTCTAAAGAAATGTACAAAGTGGAAGTGGTACCTAAATGAGGTACAAGATTTTATAGTCACCGATTGATTTCAATGGTTTCGTTGGAGGCTGCAAGTTCTAATTATTGTGGTTTACAAAATTCCTAGATTTTAAAATGAATTCGTTTGAGTTGGACGAAGTTGAAAGCCTCTAATATTCGCAAAGCTACGCTGAGTGGAAGCAGACTGATGGGATTGCCCTGTGTGATTTCGTCGCAGTTCCCAAAAATCTTCTTGGTTAGCAATAACGGCGAAGTGAGTAAGCTTGCTGTTTTTTGCATTTGTTGATGTTGCTGAGAACATAGCGCTTTTCTGCCGGCGGCTGTTACAAAGTTCCGACGGAACTCAATTAATTATTGCCAATCTGCCCCACCTCCATCGTTGTATGAGTTGAAATCAATTCATGTTGTCGCGATTTTACCAGCGGGAGAATCATATTGCGTAATTGCACTTTCCATCTAGGGTGCCAAAGGAAGCGGGCAAGGACGAGGACGCACTGGTGGAAACGGAGGATCAGCCCCACCAAATAAGATCTTGTTCTGTACAAATCTTCCTGACGAGGTTACAACGAATATGCTTCAAATTCTTTTCAACCAGTGGGTTTTAAGGAGCATTTATTTCGCTTAGTAGGTATTAGTACATGTTTTCATATTGAAGGTTTCCTGGACTCCGAGATATTCGCTTGGTACCGTATCGTTCCGGTATCGCTTTTGTTGAGTATGAATCGGAGGAGTTCGCAGCGCCTGCTAGGATTGCTTTGAACAATTTCAAAATAACCCCAGAGCAGCACATAAAGGTAGATTATGCCAAGAAGTAGAATTTATCACTATCTTATTCACAACCGCTGTTGTTTTGTCCTTAACTATCGTCTTCATTGTTTTCCATCATGGTTTTTGTGGTTTTTTATTACCCTCGACTCTATTGTGGCTTTGTAATAAACTCTTTTCATCTTTTGTTTATTTTTTGCTTACTGATGCATTTGAGCTGCTTCGTTTATTTTACCTGGTTGTGGCGGAAATCACTCGCTCGCAAGTTTCAGTACTTACGAGTTTTCTCCAGATGGCTCGAGCAATTTTAGACGTGTCGCTACCATTTGCAGTACGCCATGGATCAATGTTTGTGGGGGAAAAACGCCCAACCTGTGTGCTCTTCGTCGTTCCTATGTGGTATTTCATTATGGGTCGTCGTTAGGGTTTGCGTCCATGTGGGAAGATTTTATAGAAATGTGGTCCGCGGGAAGAGACAAATTGTTGGAACTGCAGTGATACAGTAAGTGTACAAGACTATTCTTTTGTGACTCGTGTAAGTGTTACTGGTTCTGCATAACCATTTGGTAGTTTTTCTGATTCTAAGAGGAGTGAAGGAAGTATGGTTTCAGTCTGCTCACGGTAATACTTACTTGAATACTTGGACGGTCCGTCTTCACCAGTTGTGCGGACCACGGATTTTGCCATGACAAAGTAGCTTTCAGACCATCGAATTGTGAAAAATGGTTAGGTACCTATCGATTTTCTTCTTTTTTTCCTTATTGTATAGTTCTGGTATTATTGCTGGCTACCTTCCAGAATATTCTCATTCCATTGTTTTGAGGTCATACAACACAACTGCCAGTGGAAACGCAGAATTTGTTTAAGTATTTAGGAATACCGGTATCGTTCGATATCGAAGAGTGAGTGCTCAAGAAGAGGTAGTAATGTGTCCTACTTATTGTAGTACCATAACTTCTCATGGATGTTTAGGTTCCGTGAATTGCAGTCGTTTCAGACGACCATTGTTGAAAGTTGAACGAGTCTTACAAGATACTGTTTGATTCTTATCATCGAGCAAAGTATGTTCTCATGTTATTGGGACATGAGGAAGAATTTATATGCAATTCTTGTTTTCTTTTTAGTTTTATTCTTATTTCTTTAGTTGTGAGAAATGGCCAGTTGAACTGAATTTTGGGTACGCCAATGGGAACAGTTTGAAGAGACGAATCTTAAGGAAGTGAGTTCAGCAATCGCCAGGGTCAGCTCTCTATATCCGTTGCGTTCTTTAATTGATAGAACAATGGAAAATATGTTGCGGGTATAATGTTATACTCGTTTCGTCATTTTCTAGGCTTAGGCTCACTTCTCAATTATGTTCTCGGCTTAGGCCCACTTCTTTACTTCAATTCTTTGTAACCTTCGAAAAGAATTTTCACTGTTAGCTTCTATACTCAGTGAGGATTTAGGAAAATATTTAGGGCTAGCGCTTCGTTAGATTCTTGTATGTCCAGTATTACGTGGATTTCAGAGATTTCTTACATCATTAGCGTTATTTAGAAATATCTCTAGAGCGTTCAGGACATGCCATTCCATTCATTTCAATCATTGCTGTCTGTCTGAAAGTAATTCAGTCTTTCAACTTTGAAGAAACATATCTCAGTTCTTAGTGAGCTCTAACCATTACAATAAAGGGAATACCGATGTACGGATCCTTGCCAACAAGATAGAAGCTTTACTATTTTATAACGATGAAATCCTGCTGTTATGGAGTCCACGAAACGTAATTTTCCACTCGAAGCTCGTATGTCGAACACCGAAGCGAATGTTTCAGAATGCACATCTAATACCTTCACGGCGATGCTTGAACGCGGGTTTATTGCGGACTAGACGACTAATTTTTTGCTGCGCTCGCTTTGAAACCTGTACGGGTCATACCGGGCACTCCAGAGAAACCGTTATGACCTTTGTGGTTGTCACTCATCTTGAAAGTGTTGTTTGCTGCCACAAGTGCTTTTGTGACTACAATAACATAGCGGATGCGCTGCATTTAGTGACGCTTTTGCAACGATACCTAATTTTCAGCCTTTGTAAACTTGCCGATTTTTTGACAATAATCGGAGGTTTTCGATAACAAGAGGATTTGAGGGACGATAGGTTTGCACCAGAGGCTACCCCATCGTTCTACAGGTATATGAATGGTATGCATCGTAAAAATCACTATATTCATTGTGCAAAATCTTGTCTGTAACGGGCTGAGCATCCCATTGCGTTCAGTTTGTTCGAGAATCACGAAGAGTATCTCACTTCTCCAGTCGTTATCCACCTTGGCGTAGACTTGGATAGGGGATGTTCTTGGGTATTGAAATGCGACAACTGGATTTACTGCTTAAGCAAGGCCTCTCAAACTGAGAAAGAGTTCGATACTTCTGTCTGTGAAAAGGTTAGTGAACAGTAGATTTCGTTAATAAACCTTTTTCTATGGAATTTGGTGGTCAGATCGAATCAGCTTTGATAAGGAATCGCCTAGACAGTTGTCAACGTCAAGTTTCAAGCCCTTTGGAAAGTATACTAGAGTACGTGCTCACACCTCTCACTCCTTCTATACTGGAATAAGAACGTTCACGAGAGAATCGATCAATAAGTTACCGGACTGATCGTTCAACGACTGATAGACTAGTGACTCGTTTCGTCGTGGACTGATGGTTACAGTTTTCCATAGTAGCGGCGTCTTCCGCAAATCAGATGATATCTTGCCTTCAAAAGAAATAATCCCAAACCAGTGGAGGACATGGCCGACGACCAGTCTGTTCAACAAAGGTGACCGGAGAGAGCCCGGTAACCATCGTCGATATGCTTGTTGAGTGCACTCAACAAGATCTTCATGAAGATTATCTTGTCGCGCATATCAAGAACTTTGGACGAAGCACAACCAGTTGGAGAAGTGGGACTTCGACAGAGGTTCTGCGGCACGGACCACACTCAAAATATACTAATTTTTATCGAATACGAAAAAGTGTTCAACAGTGTCAAAACGAATGCAGTCCTATCAGCGCTCGTCAACCAAGGAGTGGACTCCTCCTACCTACGAACAATAGCAGACTGTTATCGGAACTCCAACACAAATATACATCTTCATTAACCCCTCACTATACCCGTGGTTAAAGAGGTTTGGCATGGTCATACAGTACTGCCAAAAATAATGAAGTCGCTCGACCGGGACTATAAGGGTGTATCTATTCACGGAAAATTCCTATCAAATCCTCGTTTCGCCAGCGACATTGTCATTATTTGAAAAAGTATCATTGAAGCAGAGGTGACGACCAATGGGCTCAACCAAGCGGGAAAAAAAGATCGGACTATACACAAACCGAAAGAAGACATACCTAATGAAAAACCCATAGTGCGAAGGCGAACAGATCACACTGGATGGTCTCCTGATTGCAGAGACCACCTCGTACGTATACCTTGGGCGATCAATGAACGTGGAAAACAACGTGAAGGAGGAATTAAACAGAAGAATGAGAGTATCTTGAGCGACATTCGGTGCACTAAAAGAAGACGCCGACGAACTATAGGGTCCAAAAATCTGCGTTAACGTTTTCTATGAAACAACTCTTCCGGCGCTATTATGCAGCGGAGACGTGGGCTGGTACTTCAACCACGTCAAGAATACTCCGCACCACTCACGGAGCGACTGAGCGATGTCTTCTGAATTATGATCGGCACACACAAAATCTGTCCGGAATACGTAACACTGACCTTCTAAATCTATCCCATCTCCGAGATGCAAGAGTGCACACATCGATAACAAAACGTAGATGGGCCGATGATATAATGAGAAAAACAGACAACAGGTGACGAGAACCCCCTTGGACCGCCACCTACACGATGGTCGGACGTCTTCGTTACTGAAGTAAATCAGCCGTACTTGCCGCTGCGGTTGTTTCACAGATCAGTGTATGAGACTTGTATCCGCCACCATGTCCGGCGATTGCGAGACGATAAATGGAAAATATGCCGAGGTCCACATATCTCGTTAGGACCGACCGACCATATATGAAAGTGTCTTCGGCGAGAAATATTGAGAGACAGATGGCAGTTCTTTCATAAAGTGGAGTTTTGCAAATATCTCAGCAACGCTATGTTTATATGTCACATAATACCCTGCCATTAAAAATTGCTAGGGAGTAAATAAAAATTGGCAACATTGTGTGACTTATACCATCGCTTCAGCTTAACTGGGTTAACGGTTATTTGTTCTCCCTAGATCAATTCCGTTGATCGGTGATTCCTGATAGTGCCTATAGGTCAATAACACAGCTGACAGGTGAAACGAAGAACTCTCATGGGTGCGGTTATCTCCCTGAAATTGCATGTTCGGTCGACACCAGCGGTCCGGAGTTTTGCAAATATCTCGGAAACATTATGGTTATGCGGATTTTTGTATGAACAATATATGTGTATATGAGAGGTATCCCAGTTCGGGCCAACAACCACACAGAAGACTTAACCGGTGTGGATCATCATTAAGGGAAACCGGCCACGCATAGTGAAAACATTTAAATCCCATGTGGATACCAGATTTAGCCCTGTTTTATTACTGACTTACAATATCATTTCCACATTATGCCTATATATTAAACAATTTCTATATCACAATGCTTTACAATCTAAAGCATAAAGAGTCCTGTATCTTGATACACCAATGCGAACAATACTCGGTAGCCATGGTACCGCTATCTACAACCACCATTTTATTAACAAGAATCTCGCTATTTAATAGAATAGATGACACAGGAAAGCAGTGAGGACATGGTCCAAGCCGAGTGGTGATGTACAAGTAGGAAACAACGTCATGAGAACGTTATGTAACAGAAAAGAAAGGACCACTAAAAGTAATCCAATGGGAGACCGACAATTATTAAAACAATATTACATGAAGATCAATCGACAGAATTAAACTTTATTCACTTAAAACAAATGCGGTCCTCAACTCAAACCGAGTAAAACACCGTCACGGTCAGCAGAGCACACATTACCAGTAACAGGCACAACAAGTAGTTAATCACAAAAATAAGAGATATGACAGCGAAACTTAAGGCATCTATCACCCTTTTATTGATAAGAGAAAACTTAGATTTTAGTAAATTAAGTGTCCTACTTTGCATATACAGCTGGATGACACACCATCTAGGAGCTTTCTTCGGCAGAAGTTGTAGCAGACATCTGGAAAATGGGCATGGGTTATTGAGATATGCGCAGCTGAAGTCCATATGGAAGGTAAGTGCACATGAAGGGATTTCAGTAGTTGTTAGCAAAAAAAAGGAAACTTAGTTACTTATCTACTTGGATGGTCCGTCCTCACTGCTTGTGCAGGACACAGCATAATCTCCATTTTTTCGCAGTTTTGCTGGTTTAGTCATTGTGGTTCACTGGAATCCCGAGGTCAGCCAGTCCAAAGCCTGCCCCAAGTCGCCACCACCACAGGTAGTTACCATCCTTGTATATCAGAGGGAGCCACCATGGGAGTAGTTTGATACCAGGACAGTGGTGTATACTGGTATTGGTTTACTTTTAGCTGATCTTCCTAATAGAAATGCCGGACTCCTCAGCTTGGGAGATCCCACCGGAAGAGAACAGCAAAAGAGGAAGACGGAAATCAATTCCAGCAGAAATTTTATGGATGAAGCCGAAACAATATGGGTTCAAAAAATCCACACGCTTCCACATAGTTGCTAAGTACCCCTTCATAGCGAATGATTAAAACATGATAACTTACCAATCGGCTATGCTTACATGGTCTCGTCCGCGGTTTAGTCCGAGCAGACGACGTAGATGAAATCGTTGTTGAAACAGCTGTGGTTACAGGTGACGAAAACGTTTCAGGAAACTCGTCAACACGTGAGAAGTCAAGTCGAGGAATAGGACGACGATGATATCGGAAACGTATCGACTGACGACATGGTGGACAAGACATAGTTCTGAAGATTCAAAAGTACTATTGCATTTAATTATCAATTACTATCTATGAGTTGGAATCATACCCTCGATTTATTGAAAAATTGTCATGCAAGTCATCCGAATCATCGGAACTCCTCCTGGATTTCGGCGACCAGTCTCCACTTCCTGACAAGCGTTCGCTGTTTTTCAAAGATTGCTGCGAAGCGGTCTGAGCTCTACACGCGGTACGTGGGTTTGTAACACTAAATAACAATGTGCATTCAAGTTTTCGGTACCGAACTGTTAGCCGAAAACGATGTGATGTCATCAGCTGCTCAAATATCAAAACATCGTTCGGAAATGATCATCGTCAAAGCTTCCAAACACTCACGGTGTAGTCCTACCATCCGTTGACGAGCCGCTTGCTCCCAGTTTCTCGCTAGAAGATGATGGGGTGTCCTCATCGAAATTGAGACGATATCTGCAAATTGTTTTTATCAAAACCAACTGAAGTAGATGAATTTTTAAAAAAAAAACTGAAAACGTGTTAACAGAAGTAAACTAAAAAATATTCCAAAAACCAATGTGAAGTACAATTCTCCTAAACCTGGGAAACGGATCACCGCTGCTGGTATGGTCGTCCATTTCTAGGACTCGCCGACTTAATGCCGTTTGACGATGCTTTGCGAATCGGTCATCTTAAGAAGACAATTATGTACGAATCTAGTGAAAAAGAATAAACTTCGTGGTACCAGGATCGCTATCATCGTCGTCCCAACGCGATTCTCGTTTATGTCGGATAGACCCATTCACCTCAGGCGTATGTGCCTTAAGCATTCCAGTCCAGAAAATTTTCCAAATATTCAGATTAACTCAAACAAATCTACGTCTCACAAAAACCTACGAACGAAAAAAGGGCCTCATTTTGTTCTTCATCTATTATTAAACAAATAAACAAATTTATTCTTGAACTAACAAAAAAACTCCCAACGGTTTATCGCCTCATCGTGGCTGGGAGATGTTCCTGGATGTAGGGCTGCGATGTACAACGGGGAATTCATCACTCGGCAGAGTCTCCCAAGCTGAGGAGTCCAGCATTTCCATTAGCAAGCCCAGCTTAGAGTAAACCAATACCAGCATCCACCACCGTCTTAGTATCAAAATCCCATGGTGGTAAATCTCCCTCTGATCAACAACGGCTGCAACTGACTGCGGTGGTGACGACCTGGGGCAGACTCTGGCCAGGCTGACCTCGGGACTCCAGGGAAAGACAATGGCTATTCCAGCAAAACTCCGAAAAACGAAGACTACGATGGGGTTCGCACAAATAGTGAGGATGAGCCGTCCAAGTATCCAAGTAATTAAGAACTACAAATTGCCTACCGTAAAGTACACTGTTCCTTTATACGGAGTCGTACAAACAGCATTTTTCTTTCTCCGTAGTGCATCAAAAAACATCAGAAATGGAATGGCTAGTAAGTGGACTAACGCGATAATCCATAAAAGGACACCACTGGTGTGTTCATTGACTTTGTTTTTCTAAACGATATACTAAAGATGCTTATCTATAGAAGGACGTCAGTGGTATATCCACTGACTTTGCTCTTCAAACAATACATTAAAAATCCAAAGGTAAGCACACCAAGCATGATGCATTCACCACTCGATGATATCCGAGATAGAGTGTTCGTAATGGCAATCGATTTGAAATTGCCACATCAGACAACGCCTGAGCAGTAGTAGGTCGAGAAGCAGGATCAGGAGACATTAACCACTTGATCAATCGAGTGAGGTCGTTTGAAACACCTAGCGTAACCAAATTCGGTGAAGCTTGATGAAAAAGAAAGGAAGGAAAATGGACAGAGCGAATACGTACCCTTGAAGAACCTATCCGGAATATTTCCACTTCGTATCTGATGCCAAGTATCTCCTCGAGAAGGAAGATCAATGTCAGTTGTAACCTAGAAAAAGTGTAATAGAAAAAAAAACAAGATATACGTGAAAGTCATGACCACTACTGTAAATATTGCTAAAAATAAAAATAAAAAGGATAAAGCTCTCGACGTTGATCAGTTCCTGAGGAATGCGCCATGCATTCGACTTCATTAAGTACCGTTAGAGATGGCTGAACGCATATCTGGCCTTAAAAATGAATCACGGCAGCTAACACTGTATCGAGCCAGTGCTGTTACTCTCCCAGAAAAGTTTGGTACCAATATGACGACCTGAGAGGGTTGGAGGGCTGGATGAGCCTGGGTTGCGGGGATCGATCCAATGTGCATTGCAGGGGACCCCCGACCACTGCGCTACTGACACTCTTATAAATACTACAAATAACACCCTCATAGATATTGTTAAGGAAAGAAATTTTCCGTATTAAACCTCAAGTATAGTAATCCCTATGCTGAAGACATCGGCAGCTTTCGTAGGCGATGAATTTAAAACCTCAGGGGCAAGGTACTTTGCATCACCTTCCTCAGGAGTATACGCAGTGTCCTAAAGAGATGACATAAGTACACAGCTCCTCATTGGTGAACAAATGAACTAATAAAAAGAAAAAAGAAAACCAACGTTCTTCAGGTCAAATATCAGCCCAAAATCGCCCAGTTTACAGACTTTGTCCCTCGTTAGAAAAATGTTCTCCGGTTTTATATCGACATGAAGGAGATCATTACTGTGGAGATGATCAACGGCCTACAGAAGAATATGGACATACGCGTAGCATAAAGTTCTTATGACAAATTCTGTGAAGAAAACTGAAACATTTAACTAAAAATGAAGTAGACTGATGATATAACAAGTACCATTAGTATGTCTATAAAGATATTCCAGATTTCTTTCTCGGGGATTGTATGAAGTTCAGTGCAATAGTCAAGTAAGCTTCTTTCGCATAACTCTGTTAGGATATACAAGCGGCCACTAAACAGCTAGAATACATCGGGAACAACTGCAGAAGGAAATTCACAGCTTACTTTTCTTCCCAAGCCTTATAGAACTGAACAAGATTGATGTGCTTCGGTAGCAGTTCATGTTTCTGCACCTCACGTAGCTTTAGAGCACGATCTGCAGAACTTCGAAATGCCTCCAGAGCTCGTTTGACGGCGTATCGTCGTCCATCCTCTTTGCAGTACACTGCATAAGCCTAAAGCAACACAGCTCTGCCACTTGCAGCAGTACTGAAATTGGGAGCACTGGGAAACAACAGGAGCCTCCTCAAGGTTCCGTTTTCATAAAAAGAAAAGGTAGCAGGAAGGCAAACATGGCCATGTTTTCTAAAAAAAGGAGTAAAACTTGCCCTGATGGTAGAGCTGGCTTTCGAAAGAATGAAAAACTTAAACCACTAAGTACCTCGCCAAAAGATCCTTGCCCGAGCTTCTTCTCTATAGTGTAACACTGTTCAAAATAAGGCATTGCCACATTTGGATTATATATCGGACTATGGGCAATAACTGTAAAAGAATCTGTAGATAAAGCACAACATCTGACCTAAAGAGTTAGCGAAGAAAAGATCAACAAATAACGCCATGAAGACCCACTGTTGTCCGCTGGAATACCTCGAAACGAAACCTGGTGTGGGGTTTGAAGTGCAAACCTTCGCGGGTATATCCGACTCAGTGGTGGGGCTGTACGAACTGCCCTCGGTATCGAGTAGGGTTTTCGTTCACGATTCTCACCCATCTATAGAGAACGAGCGAAATTTTGGTAATAGGAAATCAAATTTTATGGAAGAGAACAGAAAAACATTAAGTTCTAGAGAACACCTTTTCACGTTTCGTCGAAAGAGGAGAGTCAAACATTTCGTAATAACTTGTTTGCATCGGTGGAGATCGAAACATTTCACCGTTCGCAGTAGTGGAGGTAGTCTGAGCATCCATTAGGTTTTCTAAGTAACAAAAAGTCAAAGTCTTGGTATAAAGCATATAAATGTAAACAAGAGTATATAGAACAGTTTCGAGACGTAGACGAACTACTGAAACGCGACGCACGAAACGTTCGAAGTATCGGCGGCTTAAAATAAAAGAACATAGCTAATAACAAAAAGAAATACGAAAATACGCAAGAAAAGCACGAACGACTAGCCACGTGAAACAACGCCTTCCATTCAAACACTGACATTTCGCGCCCTATACTTAAGCGCGCAAAATTCAAACGACAATTTTCAGCTGATCCTCATTTGTGGTGATTTCACAACAGGGGAAACTCATTACGAAATAGCTAAGGTATCCTGTTAGATAACTGTTAACGTCACTTCATTACCAACAATAGTCACCAAGCATGTCATGCTATCACTATGATATGTCGAAATACATAGCGATAGTAATGAAACATCTTTGATAGTCGTCAAAAGTAAAGCAACGACAAAAACAGACGATGTGAGAACTACAGTATTCATATCTACTTTTCTAAGCACTTTCCAAATCTGTTTACCTTATTTAAAGGGAGGGGTAATGCCGACAATTTGGTCCTAAAGGGAAATTCGTCCGAGTCCCGCGCTAATCTGGAGGATTCGAATCTGATCCGATATGACCGTATCAGTCGTCGTTAGGATTTCTTGTTATTGTTAAGTTTTTATTTACTGCCTATCACTTATTACTAAGGGCTCATAACGTAGGGGCTTAATGAGGTCGAATACATGGCGCATCCTTCAGGGATTGAACAACACCAAGAACTCTATCCTTTTATCCTTCCACTAATTTTCACAGCAACGTATGATGTTAAACCGCTATGAGGCTGCGATATTCGCGAAACATCGACCTTAGGCCAGTGGCCAGTTCGAACCCGCGATTATTCTTTCCGGGGCTCACGTCGTGCACACTGCACCACTTTGCATTTCTCTTAGCCAATTTTTTACCTAATCATCAGAAATCACCCGTCAATGTGAATTCTTGCTATTGTTTAGCGTTTTTTCGAACGATATTGGCTCTTTCACCTATGTCATATGCATACAACGTTGTTATATTTTTTATAGTCGGCTATGGCACCACCCGGAGAGCATTACTCGTTAGACGAATTTGTCAAACTGGACAAAATCGGAGAGGGTTTGTTTGTTTCTGTTTTCATATACCTCAAGGCTATACCTGAGGTTAAGTATGCGAAATATCTAATTTTGAAGGTACGTATGGTGTAGTATATAAGGGAAAGCATAAGAAGACTAATAAACTTGTGGCTATGAAGAAAATCCGTCTAGAAGGAGAGGACGAGGTTCTTCTTTTATCCCTTTGTTTATCTTTCCAAAGACCACTTTATTGGTATTCAGGGTGTTCCCTCAACAGCTATCCGAGAAATCTCGTTACTTAAGGAACTAAAGCATCCTAATGTTGTGCAATTGGAGGACGTGATCATGCAGGTGAGAGTCACTTAAGTAATTTGGGCTACCGTTGTCTTCATAGTGCACAGAAATTTCACAGGAACGAAAATTTGTTTTCTTCAGGCATTGATTTGGATTTCTTTCCAACGCTTTGTAGCCTCATCGTAGCTAGGAGGTGCTCCTGGGTGTTGGGCTGCGGTGTACAGCCGGGGTATTCATCTCCACGGCAGGGTTTCCCATTCGAGGAACGTGTATGGCGTCTCCATCCGGAAGATCAGCTAAGAGTAAACCAACACCAGTATTCACCACCGTCCTGGTATCAAACTAGTCGCATGGTGGCGAATCTCTCCTGATCCACGAAGGCGGCAACTGCCTATGGTGGTGACGACCTGGTGCAGACCTTGGGCAGGACTGATCTCGGGGCTCCTGGCAACCACATTACCTAAACTAGCAAAACTACAGATTATGCTGGATACGGCGAAAGCAGTGAAAAGAGACCATCCAAGTAAGCAAGATTGATTTCACCTCATATACCCCTCATATACTAGTCGCTAAACGAGATTACCTACTTGAATACTTGATGGCCCATCTTCACTGGTTATACGGGCCGCAGCATAGTTTCCATTGTTTCAAATTTTTGCTGGTTTAGCTGTCGTGGTTCCTTGGAGCCGCGAGGTCAGCCTAGCCGAGATTTGCCCTAGGTCGTCACTGCTACAGGCGGTCGGCGCTCTTTGGATCAGAGGGAGATTTGCCACCATGCGAGTAGTTTGTTACCAAGACGATGGTCGATAGTGGTATTGGTTTACTCTTAGCTTGGCTTCCTGATAGAAACGGCGGACTCTTTCTCAGCTTAGAAAGTCCTGTGGAGGGTGAATCCCCTTGCTCAGCCCAGTAAACCCGATTATGTGGAATTACTTGTCACTTTCTTTTTAAAAACCGGAAATTGTCACCAGAGGGGAACTCGGATTTATTGGTTTACACAGTTTGGTTAAAAAAAAGCTGAGAAATGAAGCTTCCATCGTTCCTGACTTGGTTTAGTAGTTGCAGCAAAAATTGGAAGAATTTAATGGTGTTTATTGGTAAGCAGTTTCTATTTCTTAATGTCGAAGCTAGTTGTTTTCAGTTCAACGATATTTTTTAGGACCAGAGAAGTCTGATGTTCCTTACGGTGAAGTCACTTTATACCCTTTTTCCGCCAAGATTTACTGATTACGTGTTTAAAGTGAGATCTTTTCAGGAGAACCGTCTATATCTTATATTTGAGTTCCTTTCGATGGATCTTAAACGATATTTGGATCAACTTCCAGCTGACAAGAAGCTTCCACCAAACGAATGCAAAAGTTACATGTTTCAGGTTAGTTTTTTAAACGTCCAGCTATACTTGGATACTTGGACGGCCCGTCCTCACTTGTTGTGTGGGCCTCAGCAAAATCCCCACTTTTTCGAAGTTTTGCTGGTTTAGCTATTGTGGTTCCCTGCAGTCCCGAGGTCAGCCTAGCTAAAGCCTGCTTCAAGTCGCCACCACAACAGGCAGTCGCTGCCCTTCTGGACCAGAATGAAATTTGCCACCATGCCAATAATTTGATACCAGGACCATTCGTGGATCCTGCTATTGATTTACTCTTAGATGAGTTCACCAATGGAACGCGGAACTCGTTCTCAGCCTGAGAGACTTTTCCGTGGAGATAAATCTCCCTGTTGTACATCGTAGCACGACAACAAGGAACACCTTCCAGCCACGATTAGGCGGTAAGCCGTCTGGAGGACTTTGACCCATACTTGATAATTTGTTACAACAGGTTCATCTAATCGTTTCTCCAACGCTGGCCGTCCAAAATCGTTTCTCCTCGTTAAGTATGCGATAAAGTGGTACTTCTTTGACTTATATTTCTAAAGTATTTGTTATACAGATTTGCCAAGCAATCTGCTTTGCTCACCAACGTCGTGTAATTCATCGGGATTTGAAGCCTCAGAACCTTCTAGTAGATGGAAAAGGTGCCATAAAGTTGGCTGACTTTGGTTTAGCTCGTGCTGTAGGGATTCCTGTCCGGGCCTACACTCACGAGGTAAGCATAATTCACATATGCCATATAGGCCTGTCTACATTAAAGATGATTTTAAACCTCCGTATATCATTTTTAATGCTGTGTGAAATTTTTTGGTCTATAAACCTAACTTTAGGTAGTAACGCTATGGTATCGCGCACCAGAGATTCTGCTAGGAACTCAGCGTTATTCAACGGGTGTAGATATGTGGTCGATTGGTTGCATATTTGCTGAAATGGCAAGCAAGAAGCCTTTGTTCCAAGGAGACTCCGAAATCGATGAGCTTTTCCGGCTCTTCAGGTCTCTTTCACTTTTCCTTACTCATTTAACACATTCGCAACGATTCTGGTTCCTCGATAACTTGGATAATTTTGTGTCACTCTAGTACTTTCCAGGAGAATTTACGGATTTATAGAATATATGTAGATATATGTCGCTCAAAGGATATAAATAGCTCCTGGAGTGTTTCCATTTCAAAATAGTTTGAGATTCATACTCTCAAAAAATTCATATTTACAAATTTTTGGACACAAGCGTGGATCTTCACCGCTTGAACATGTTCTCGGCGAAAAAAAGAAAAGCAATGAACATGTATGGGCTCCGAAAGATTTGGGAAGGGAAGAAAGGACTTCATTATATTGAAAAACGAAAACTTGTACCTCCCTTGCAATGATTTGTACATTTTAACGGTTCTTTTACTTTAGCCAATAAGCTTCTCTTTATTCAGAGGTATTTCTAGCCCACTGTTGAAATGCAGAGTTATTTCCGCCCAGGTCTAATCTACAAATGAATTATCTCATCCCAAATGTGTTAAACTAGCATATCCTTTAAGATTTCTAGTTGAGAGTATTTGAAAAGAAATTGGGGGATACTGACAGGGTTCTTGGAACTCCAACGGAAGCCGAATGGCCTGGCGTAAGTGGATTACCGGACTACAAACCAACATTTCCGAAGTGGAAAGGCAGTTCGCTGGCGGAGAAAATGGCAAACTTCATGGAGCCTGACGCAATAGATTTGCTTGAGGTATGTTGAAGGCCAACGACTTATTCAGTTGTATTGGTAATCTAATTTTTAGTCAATGCTCGTATACGATCCAGCTCGTCGCATCTCATCGCGGAGGGCACTTCACCATCCCTACTTTGATGATGTGAGTGCCAGGGACTGCAATTTTTTTTGAGCTGCCCTATAATGGCCTGGAATTGAGGTTAAAAAGCTGTTACTATGTATATGTTTTATAGGTGGACACATCCTGTGTACCTGCCGGAGCATATCGTGGAGAACTAGTGCTCGACTAGCAAATGTCAATTTTAGTCAAAGGCAACATATTGCACAATCCATCTATATTATGAGGTTCCCTTTCGCGATACAAAGGACTATTCCCAGGAATATATGTTTCTCTAATCTCAACAGAAGTTATCCCACTCTCGAGCTTAACCCTGGTCCTTATGTACCTAAAACCTGTAGCAGTATACATAAAACCTGCAATTTTCCTTACCTTTGTTACGTTCAATTTTTCCTTTTGTTAGCTTTTACTTTTATATGAGAAGTAAAACATTGACAGACAATTCTTGACCAGGTGTAATGCGGCCGTTCACCTCTTTATGAAATGACACTTCGCCCTATTTTTTAAGATACGTCTATCGTACAGAGCACAGATCAATAAGGTCTGACGTTCGTCAGTTCATATCGGAACAATTGCTAAAATAACTAGAAGTATTCTCTGATCGAGGAGGTACGACAAATCAAATACTCAATGATCATGGCAATAGCGAAGTTCAGTGATGAGATCTAGTACATGTCCTTCCACTTTTTATAGCATTTTGTCGCATCGCCTTTCACACATCCCTGAAAAAATGATGGTAAGTTATGCAGCAATGCAGCACAAAGGTTTAAAGAGCATACCTCAACATCTGCGCGTACGGTTTCACTAAGCACATCACCTTTTTCATTGACTAGTTTCAGAGCAGGGATCACTTTTACATTGTACTTCTCCAGGAATTCTCTGCAAAAAGTACATGGGAAGTACAGGATGTGGCTTTACGTGTGAAAAAAAAATGGTCAGTGTGAAGAACACAGTGAATAGATTGATGCGCTGAAGAGATAGCCACGAACTGATCCCATTTTCAATTGGCAAAGGCATCCTAATAGTAACAAAATTTAGCTTACGCTATGTTATGATCACCGAAAGGTATATAGCACCAGGACGGCATTGCTTTGTCGTAGTAGTCCAGCTGGTCCTGTGCTGCTTTGTCGCGTGATACCCACACCACTTCCACATTCGATCGCTCAGCTTCTCCTAGTTCTTCATAAAATTTCTGAAATGTGCAGTCCGGTTAGGCTGTTGTTATGAAATGATTCAAACATCAGAATTCTTGTGAATTCCTAGGTTCCAGAAGATTTGTCTCATCTGATGCCTTCCACAAAATGAACATAGTGCAATATCAAATGTCCATTTTTACCTCAGCATATATTGAATACCTTCCTGAATTCAATATGTCTCGTCGCATCCACAACTGAGGAATGTCTTTGGATATGTATGCGTGTCCTGCATGAGGATTTTTGGTTCTCTGATTTTGATATCTTCCCCATGGAGGGATCTCATTCCGGTTAGTCGCGAGGCAACGTTGCGCGTCCCCAGTTGCGGCTACAGGTTTAATCGCGAATTAAAAGCGAACTTATGCTTCTCTGAGACATAGGTGGATCAAAGAGATGGATTCACTGTTTTTGCTGAGCAGATTTGGGACATATCTCCGGTGTTTACGAGGACGTATTTATGTACATGTGCGTGAGTGTGCTCTCGTTTATGCGGGTTGTATTCTATGAATCAATTTGGCCAACATCTTAGAATCAAGTAAAAGGTAAAGGAGGCGTTAGAAGTCGCCTCCAACAAATGAGCTCTCCCATTTATTCTGGGAGAGCATCGCGCACCACTCTTCAGGATACTCAGTAACCACGTTCAAAGCTCAGCAAACTGTGTGTGGGTATCAAAAAGCTAAACACAGTAAAAGAAACGGGCCTCATTCCCCACACCACGAAAAGGCCGTCAGTCCGTCAGCGTTGGGTAGTACAACTACGAAGAAGTTGCTAAAATCTCAGTGCCAATGGAAGCTACCTGAATTTCAAAGAACTATGGTGACGATCTGTACTTACAATGCACGTACACTTTCATCCGAGTCCTCGATAGACTTGCTCATGCAAGCAAGAAAGATAAGGTACGACGTCATCGGCATGGCCGAGACGCGACGACGTCACCCATTCAACGCCGTCTATAACACCGGAGAAAAACTGTTCGTCGGAACGTGCGACAGTAGAGGAACCAACGCCGTCGGCGTTCTCGTCAACACGAGTTTGGCCATAAATATCGATTCATTCGAACAAATAGTTACCGGCATTAATAATCTTCGTCGTTTATGCGCCGAGATTAAACTACGACGAAAAGAACTCGAAGCGTTCTGTATGGACTTAGAGAAGTTCTACAGAGAACAATACATTCCTTGAGGTCATCATTAGAGACTTGAACGCTAACATTAGACCTAAAAGGACGTCCGAAGAACGCCACATAGGGACAAACGAATTAACAAGGAATGAGCAGGGAGAGCGGCGACCTGCGTTTATCATGACAACCGAGACCATTCATAGTAACCCGTAATTCTAAAAGCTCCACCCTCAACGCTGGACGTGAAATTCTCCCACTGGAGAGTACGACGACGAAATAGACCACATTATAGTAAACAGAAGGTTTTGCCTTACCGCTGTCACTGTTGTCCCAAAATTCTAAACGAGATCAGAAAATCACCTCCTTGGTGCAAAACTTTATTTCCGCGGAAAGAAGAAAAAGCCGCTAAATTCAAAACTGAAGTCCCAGAACCACCATAAACTGGGACGTATTCGATTCACTAGTCGGCTTTGGGGAAGATGCCGTTCTCCACATCATCGACGAAACTCGAGAATCATCAAGAGACATCCCTCTCCAGAAACACTCGAAATGATACGCTAGTGTGGAATCGCACGAGCTGCAGGCAAGTGCCAACTCACGTCCGAACTTGCAAAACAGTCAGAAAGGCGATAAAAGAAGAACTTAAAGACAGAAGTGCAGCAGTCGTTATCGAAGCTGCAGAGGCTGTGAAAATCATCTCGAATGACTAGATGGATAGAGCGACTAGGTGCTCAGAAAGAAGGGATCATTTACTCTTCTTTACATGCAGGTGAATTCCACAGAAGATGCAAAATGGCGAGTGGTTTCAGTAGGGACGATGAAAATAAAGCGTGTTTTATGAAGGTTTTTGTGGCTTGATTCTTTCCGTTATTATTGAACGTCCACTGGACAACTCCGGAGTATCACAGGAGTTAATGTGGATTTCGTTGATGATCATTCGATTCACCTGTGATTAATGGAATACAGGAAATAAAGGATACAATTTAAAAGCTTTGAAACAGAAAAATTAAGAGGTAAGCACAATCAGAAGGGTAGAAGTCAAATGTAGAATAAACTAATGAATTTACCTTGAGCTTAGGGGTTAACAGTCTGCACGATCCACACCATCCTGCGGAGAAATAGAGAAGCAACATCTAGGAACACATAAGTTAACGGTTACATGTTTGTATGTAATATGTGTAAGGGCCTTCGTGATGAAGTGTGTAATACGAGAGCGGGTACTCGTGGTTCGATCTGGTCGGAGGTCTAGGTTTTGCGAATGTTTCGGTATCTTTGTGGTTATATTTGTAATGCGAATATCAAATGCACCGTTTCACGTCCTTACCCTGTCTTCCCAAAGAAAAGAACAAGGCTTATACAATTACTTCATTACTAGTTGAAAAAAAAACGTTAATAAGACCTAGCACCTTTCCCTTGAGGCTGTCCACAGACACCTTGTCCACACCACGTTTCTTCAATGGAACGTTCGCTAGAAAATGCTGCGTACGGGAGCTGATACACAAGGTACGTTGAAAGACTGCTTTAAACTGGTATGTGAGTATCATGTCTATCGTAGAACCCTGAAGTTGTGGAGAGTTGTGCCCACGCGTTGTTTCTACCGCTTTTCGTGCGCAGTAATGCCTACTGTCATTTTGTCTTTGCTTCACAGCATCTGCTAAAATGATAAAAAAGCTCTCGGCTTTGATCAATCTCTGAGGGGTTCAACATGTATCCGATTCCTCTCGTATCACCGTTGGAGGTGATTGAATGCATATCTAGCCTTTACGATGACTCGCGGTGGCCTACCGATGTAACGAGCCAGTGGTGCTATCCTCCCAGACAAGTCTGGCACCAATTTGCTGACCCCGGAGGGATGGAGGGCTTGGTGGGCCATGGGCCAGGATCGATTCCATATGCATGTTGCGGCGCGCATCCGACCACTGCGCCACGCGTCCCCATCAGCATCTGTTAACATGCCCAATACTGAACGGATGACGGTGACTGGTGTAATAACCAATATAACCATTAATGAAAAAGGGAAAGCGGAACGCTGGCGTTAGTTACCTCGATGATTCTCTTTTACAACTAAGCATTGGTTCGAGTTTATTCTCTAACACTATCTTACGAATACACACCAGCTTCAAAGCAATGTGATTTCATAATGGTATGTAACATAAAGTCTACAGTTGTGCTTTCAAAGAGGAAAGAGGGATGAGCACGTCGGAATTCTACTAGAAATCGGACAAGCATATGTCATTACGGGATTCTCCGTACAACTTGATGACGCTTCTGTGAAATAAAATCAACGAGTTCTTTGTAAAAGACGACTGAGAAACTCTTATACAGGTATAACTTCTAATGTGTGGAACCATAACATCATGAAATATTCCACGGAGAATCGTTATGCCATAGAAAAAAAACAAATGCTCTCCACTTCATCGAGTTACAACGGGCTAAACGCTGCCCAGCTGAGCTACTTGAGTTTATTATCCCAAAAAAAATTCATCAACAAACCTAAAGTATCTACAACAGACTGAGGTACTTTGCTTGTACAACCGTCGACTACAGAACTACCCTAATTGAGATATATTGAAACATCCTATAAGTGGATATGATCTATCATTCCAACTAGTAAAAAAATAGAATAGTGTCTTAACTTTAACAGAGTAATAAATATTAGAGAAGACGAGCGAAGTCGAAATTCAGTTCAGGATCCATAGGTTCCGCCACCATGAAGTCGAGATCGGAGAGCGAAGCAGAAAAATGCTCCAAAAACAGGCGTGCCGAAGTCTCCGTGATAGCTCGCGCATCGAAGCACAGAGTTACAGTGAATCTAAATCAATTCTGTCACAATTCCACGAAAACAGAAACACTGGAAATCCCAATACAAGCATTCATAGCCAAAATAATCCGGCGAAAAAAAGGAACTGCCACGTTCTTCGCAATTTTTGGCAGTTTTCAGTTGGGCAATTGGAGAGGAGACCACTGCAAAATGATGTGAGCAATCCCGACCAGTCGTGGAAGAGACCTAACCGCAGTATGATAAACCTTCCCTCAATACATAAGGACCTGCGACTGTTTGTAGCGAAAACCTAAGAACGCTTCAGCACGGTTATATTTCAGGGTTTTAGAAACAATCACGTTTGACCAAAACTCAATACTCCACTAATCGCTATAGCAAAATAAAGATCTAAAAAAGAGGATCAACAAACTTTTATTAAATGTATTCTTTTATTTCATTTTATATGACCCGTCTTCGCATCTACTGTGTGAATCTCAGCACTTCTCACATTTGATTCGTCTCCTTGTATCGGTTGTCCACGAAGATCTTCCAACTTTACTTGTGGCTCGGATTCTGCTTGAGGATTTGCATTTCATCTTGAATGTCGTAGAATGCTGGTCGAACAATTCTCCCTGGAGTCCTGAGATAACCAGGCTAGAGCGTTCCCAATTGGATTTCACAGAGTAATATTTTTTCCCAGACAAGTCCGGTACCAATTTCCTAACCCCGGAGGAAAAAGAGGCTTGGTGGGCATCGAGTGGGATCGAGCACATTGCTCGTGATGACTGGCACCACTACCATTGTGCCATCCGGACTCTTTATTTCTATTTTTTTTAACCAAACCTAGGATATCTAAAGTTAAGAAGCTGGTTGGATAACCGGAAAGTGTTGGTAACAGATGAACAAGAAGTGTTAGTCAGAAGAAGCTCAAGTATTCTCTAGGCAGACTACCTACAAGATAAGAGGACGTTTTTATAGTCTATTTCAACCCACTGTGTTTTCAAGCTAAAAACATAGATGCACTATCCATTACGAGACAAACCGTCACCAGTTGTGATGAACGAGGAAAGAAAAATGAAGCACGGATCAACGAATCTCCAAAAGATTATGAACATGACAAAGGACGTGTCGCAAATAGATGAAGGTAAAGAAACACATACCTATTACACGACTTGAGATTCTCGTCCAATTCTGTGCGACTCCCTCCCACGGCTAAAATTGCTGACTGGGGCGGATTAATGATTGCCGTAAACTGTTCGACACTGCCGAACATTCCCAAATTTGAGATACTGGAAGGCAATCGATAGAAGGAATGTCAACCGAGACAGAAAATATGTCTAGAAAAATAAGTCTATTGAAAAAAACACACGTGAACGATCCCCCTTGAAATTCGTTTGGCATAAGTTTGTTCTGACGAGCACGAGCAGCTAGTTCCTAGACAGTCACTTTTCAAAAGGTTACTAGGCACAAAAGAGTAATAGCTAATAGTTACAAATAACTCAAGTACTAACCTTCACCCTAGCAGATATATATTGGACACCAAGTATGTCGGCAGAAGTTATTATAGGTGTAATAAGGCCACTTGGAGTAGCTACAGCGACGGAAATGTCTACCATTGACAAGTATATGACTTGTTGTGTTTCAGCAGAATACTGAACATTAACTTGTGGTACCGCCTGGAAAGACATGAGTTCATCCTATTGTTAGTTACCTAGATTGCCAAACAAATTAAGCATTTTACAAAACAATATTGATTGTTGTCTTCATTTTTACCTACTACCTACTCTTTTTAACTGAACAGTGTCATGCGCAATATAACCATAATGATGCTGAGGAATTTGTAAAACTCCGGACTGCGGGTGTCTGCGGTGGGAACTGAACACGCTACTACTCTTCTGAGGGCTAACGCGGTCACCAGCACACTATGCGAGTCCTGCGTTTCGCCGTTCTCTCAGCCGTCGTTAGCCCTCGGAAAGGGTAATAGCGTGTTCGGTCTCCACCGCACACACACAAATGCTCCGGAGCTTTGCAAGCATCTCAGCATCATTATGGCTATAATGATTGTTGTATTTAATGGTAATTAAGCTGAATCTTCATTATTACAGAACAAAATGGCAATTAGTAAATAACCATAGAAATGAGCTCTATTTCGGATATATAAATAGCAAAAAGCAAACGCTATTACTTAACAAGCAAAAAAATAGCAAAAGATGATACTGACACGAAGAGCAAGCGCTGCAGCTTTGATAATAAAGTCGTTCATAGACACTTTGATTCCCTTATCCAGCAATTTTGTTTGCAAATCCAAAATTGCATCAGCGGAGACGACGGCGGACACATATTCGTGTGGAATAGACTTCTGTAATTCATTGGATTATTGCAGATTGCTTGCTTCCACTGAATACTTGGATGGCTCGCTTTCAGTGGTTGTGCGCTCGGTCCCCAGCATAACCTCCAATTTTCGGATTTAGCCATTGCGGTTCCCTGGAGTTCCGAGTTCAGTCTAGGTAAAGTCTGCCTCAGGTTGTCACCACCACAGGTAGTCGCCGCCCTTGGTTCAGAGGGAGATTTGCCATCATGTGACTAGTTTGAAATAAGGACGATGGAGGATCCTGGTATTGCTTCACTCTTAGCTAGACTTCCTGATGGAAACGAAAAAGAAAACCATCACTGAAGAATGCAAAATGATGTGACGACAAGCATACCTTAGACTGCGTAAGTCGCCTTGCTATGGTGGCACGAATGTTCGAGAGTGGAATGTCAACGAATTTTTCGCCGGAAACAGATGACGCAGCAGGCGGCTGAAACTCACAAACAATTCTTAAGCCGAAGTGATCATATGCTAAAATTTTGTGGAGGCAGGATAGAGCTAGTGCCCAAATAAACTCACTTCTGAAGACTTGAAGCACTTGAAAACAGCGTTTTTTGATAAACAGATGTCATCAATAAAAAATTGATAGCGAAATTTTAATTGAAAAATAGATCAATTTATGAGCAAAAGAGTGACGCCATGCTGTGCAGAAATATGACCAGCAGGTCACATATTCTAAAATTGGAAATCTTTTTAGTTTCCAAGAAACGTCAGGAGCGGCAGTGTTAGCAGAAGTAATAGTAATATTTGCTTCTCCCATATTTTGTAACAAACATATTTCCACAACCAAATTTAGCGTTTTAGTCGAGACTTATCTGCGACCAGTTCTCTTGCTAATGCAACGTAAGAGTTAAACGTTAAGTCCACTTTGAACTAGAAAAAAGATTTTCTACGGAACATGTTCACATGTGCTTAAATTGCTGGACCTACATGAGGTTGACAGATGTTTATTCGGCTAACGTTTCAACGACTTCGTCTTCATCACAATCGATGATCCGAGTCAATGGTCCGCAATCGTCCAACTTCTCAACGTTGCGTTTCCGCCGTCCGAGTTGGATCTTCTTCATTGGAACACCACACGAATGAGGACATGCTGGCCCGACAGCGTTCTTTTATACAGGACGATTGTTGTTCATACGACTATTCGCTGATAGACAAGTTTACGTAGACGCAATAAACCCCTATTGATTAATACAACTTCCTATTACATTCTCCATAGACCTGGACATCAAAACGACCAAGGGTTATAACGCATCAAAACAACCACTTTTTCGCATCTACATAAGTGGCCACAAATTTCTGCCGGATCTCTTCGATCTTCAATAATTTTATTTACTTCTAACGAAAAAAAATGGATTGAAGAGCCAAGCGCAGAAGAGTTAGCATTCACAGCAGGGAAATTGCAACTGCATGAAAAATTGCACGGAATATTTCGCTCCTTTCTTGGAAAATCGGACTGTGATTATCTAACTAACAATCCTGCACAATTACTTCATAATGTCAAGGACAGATTATACAGCAAAATATTTTACGTGAACAGTTATTCCGCTTTTGGAAATTAAACCGAAAGAGAAATCCGAGTTATGATGAATGAGTACGGTATTTTTATATTATTTCTGGCAAGGAAGAGTGTTGTTTATATAAATATACCGTACCCAGCCATCAGAACTCGAATTTCTCTCTCGGTTTAATTTCCAAAATCAAAATAACAGTGTACGGAAAATATTTTTCTGTACCACCTGTCCTTGGCATTATCAAGTTGTTCAAAATTGCTAGATAGATAATACACAGCTCGACTTCTCAAGAAAGGAGTTAAATGCTCCCTAAAAACTTTCATGCAGCTGCAGTTTCCCTGCTGTAGATGTTAACTCTACTGCATTTGGCTCTTCAACCCGCTTTTTTCGGGGATAAACGAAACTACTTGGGGTCAAATATATATAGAAAGCAAAAAGGCAAAATGATAGCACACGTAAAATAATTTTCTAAATAGTAAAACAATCCATCACAAACCTTTGCCAAATCTTTCCGAGGAGACCTCGGTTCGGGAGGTGGAGCAGCAGTAACAACTGGCTTAAGACTGCTAGCTTTGATCATACCATAGATGTCCCTAAACCAGGAAAGAATCAAGAAAAACAACTGAAATAGTGCAATACCACAATGAACAGTTGGAACATTCTTATGGAATTCGAATGCAATAAGGTAAAATAGAAAAAAAAACTCGTGGCTCTTCCGCCTTGTCTAGAAATCCAGTTAGATGACTATACTCTTTCAAGATGTTTCCTTTCGGTCCTGAGGCTTTCACGTTCTTCTCCGCAATCCCATAATGTAACATAAGCAAACGCACTGCCGGACCACATAATCCGCTAGAGAATGATATTAATACATATTGATCTAGCATGTGGGAGAAAAACCTAATCATTATTTTAGCACGAAACAAAAAAACCTCGTCGAGTGTTGAACAGTGCTAAAAGATCGAACCAATGGGACGATACTGGGTAATATCATAGAAGAGACAGGATACCACTAACCACAAAAATCAATCCCTATAACATTAATAGAATAAAATTTAAAGGAAAACTACTTACAGTGCAATTTAAGCTAAAAGACCTGAATTACACAACAAAGTTGTAACCTCGTATTTTTAAAAATACCGAAATTGAATTGCAACAAAGGATAAAAGGATCAAGCTCGCGGCGTTTATCAATCTCTGAAGTATGCGCCATGCATTCGACTTCATTTGCAGGATCGTTGGAGGTGAGTGGATGCATATCTGGCCTTGAAATGACTCGTGGAGGCCTACCGATGTATCGAGCCAGTGCTGCTATGCTCCCAGACCGGTCTGGTACCAATTTGCCGATCCCCGCGGATAGAAGGCTTGCTAAGCCTGGCGCGCGGGATCGATCCCATGTGTATCGCAGGGCGCCTTCGACCACTGCCTTACGCACGCTCCTATTATATACATATATACTTACAAAGATATGATGCCCTGTCACAAAATTCAGAAATAGATATATAAACACTTCTAAACTTTGTAGAAGTAAAGCAAAGTAGGGAAATTTCAATAAACGTTCTGCACATTGAAATAAAAGACTATGAAAAAAAAGTAAACAACACAAATTAACGGTTCCACAACAAAAGGATGCCATGGGAGTTGACTCAAACATACCAGTAATATTCACAAACCAGGACAAAGCTAGCTAAAAGTCGATATTGAAAAGGAATGTGACGTGAGTTATGATGCTTCGCAATCACACAACCAGGAAAATGACGACTAACTCGTCCGAAGGTGGTTTTTGTAAAACTTTGCGTACTTTGTTGTAGTTACATATTTTCACAAATTTGAAATATTTTTCTTTAAGTGAAATTTCTAGTGGGTTAGAATTCAGATACCTGGCTTTCAGATTGTCTCGCTTTTATTTTTTATGGTTTTATTACATATTGTTATTATAATAGATAATATCTCAAGCTTTCCATTCCGTTCCCGTTGATTGGTTACTGCTGATTGAACCGTAAGGATAAAAAGAATCGATGGTAGAAAGACAGAACGAGGCCTTCAATGGCGCAGTGGGTAAGAAGTGGGCTCCCGGAAAGGGAAATCGTGGTTCGATCTGACTTGGATCCAAGTTTTGCCGGTATCCCAGCATCATTGTGTTTGTGTTTTACATCATAGCCTGCCTAGATAACAACGTTGAGGAACTGGATGAAAAGTTATACATTGTGATTTCGAGCTTTATTGTAACGGGACTTTTCGTGTTTAGCTGTGATTTGAGATAATCGGCTGCACCATGTGAGCTATTGTTTTCTGTTTATTTGGAGCGAACTAGAGTGGTTCTTTCTCTCGAAAAGATCTGTTGTCATCTATCTACAAGGTTTTACAGGTAATCAAAATGTCCATGTATGAAATTCCTCCTTTTGTGCCGAATGATTTGGACGTAAAACCTGCTGAAGTAATGTATTTCCTTCCTAGTTACCATACTGTAGCAAACAGGAAGGTAAGGAGTTTATGTTGGTTGTCAAAATTTTGGTGACTTTGAGATTGTAACCTTGCCGTGTAGATCATTTACTCAGGCATGTAGATTCTTCGCAGGGTTTAGGGTGCTATAACTCCCACATTATATCAAAGTTTAGAGTGGGGTTGCACACATCATATTAATTAATCATACAGATGCATACATATACATATATATGTATATATGTATGCATGTGTATATACGTATATATATGTGTATATATATATATATACATATATATGGTGGCTATGCAAATGTGGCTTCTTTGAGTTCGTATACGTTACATGATCTTAACCATATATTAGACTATTACGGATTTTTCTTGGATACTTGGATGGCCTGTCTTCACCGGATGTGCGGGGCCTCCTATAATTTCCAGTTTTTCGAAATTTTGCTGGTTTAACCGTTACGGTTCCCTGGAGGTCAGCCTAGCCAGTCTGGACCAGGTCGGCATGACCACAGGCAGCCGCTGCCGATATGGACCAGAGGGAGACTTGCCACCAAGCGGCTAGTTTGATACAAGGACGGTGGTAGGTCCTGGTATTGGTTTACTTTTAGCTGGGTTTCCTTATGTAAACGCCGGACTCATTCTCAGCTTGGGAGACCCTGCTGGTGGATGAATTTCTGGCGCTTTACATTGCAACCCGGCAACTTAATGCTTCCCAAGCCATAGAAGTGGCACACATAAATTAAGGAAATGGTGCTCCTCTGGCTAGACGTGTTTTGTGAATTGGCTTCTATCTAGCCAAAATTGTAGAAATGTATATAAAACAGTTGAGAACTGTATAGTTTCAGGAGCTAGCTTATTTGTGACATGTGTTCATATGGTTTTTTCTTGAAGTTTACGGAGTTGGTTGTACGTGCAGTTTATGCATTAAGGAACCAGTTAAAGAATGTAATGATGTATGTGATGATTTGTACAATCCCGTCAAGGAAGTCGAGAAAAAACAACATGTTTTGATACAGTCGTTGATTGTGCTCGAATCAACGCTGGAGTCCCTACTGAGGGAGATGAAGAAGTCAGGCAAGTTTTTGACGGTTTGTGATACCTTGTTGTAGTACTGCTGTACTGCACTATTTTTCCTCTCTCTATTTGTTGGATAGTCCCACCAAAAGGTTTTTTCCTTTCTAATCTTGATTCATTTGTGAATTCAGCTGTTAGTTCAAACGAAGAAGAAATTTGTGCTAAGTCTACATCAACACCATCAACGACTTCTGTTTCTAAAGGCGATGGTAAAAAGGACAAGCATGCAAAGAAGGAAGCGAGGAAAGCTGCTAAAATAGAGGCGAAGAGCAAGGTAAAATAGGTGTTTACAGAGTAAGGGAATTAGGCTTGTTTTCTTCACAATTCCTCCCAGACATGTTTGCTTTGTTTAGATTTCTAATCTAACGTCTGGCACTTAGAAATTAGGCAGTACAGTTTTCTTCCTTCATATTCACGTTTTTGTATAAGTTTAGTGCCTCGGTGGGCACAAATGGCTTTGAACATAGTTGCGCTGAAGGTACAGTCGGTGGTAGCACCAAGAGTGTTTAAGCATGGCTGAGACAAAAGCAAAGCAAAGACCTCGGTTGGTTTAGAGGATAGTACGTGACTCCCCGCAGGAGTAATCTCAGGCCTGGGAGATCATGATGCTGTGAGTTCTTCTCATAATATCTCAACATCGTTGTGACTGTATTTCACGTAATAAACTGCCACGAAAAGAGAATATCGTAAAGCAAAAGTTAAGAACATGTCCTGATCCTAGAGAAATGCGAAGCGAAGGACATGCTTGGTGTAGTGGTGAATACGTTAGCCTATGGAAAGGGTAGTAACGGGTTCGATTTCCACCACAGGCACCTGCGCTCTGCGGTTTTCCAAATGTCTCAACATCGTTATGGTTATATTCTATTACATTTTTCATTCTTTTCGGTTTTGTCGTCTTCATCCTGTACTGTCCCTGTGAATTCTTCAGGAGCAACCTCTTCTGAGCATAAGTGGGTGATACATGTAAGTTTCGGCTAAATGGCAATGTAATGAATCTTTGACTGATTCTTGGTGTTTATTTTTCCACTTTGTTGACGATATATGCAGAAGGTATATGCATAGGAGGAGAAGCGAGCAAATGTGATTGGGCAGTCTCTCACAGCTAATCTTCCACCAGTGTTGTGCAATTACGAGAGGCAAAGTGAGCTCGCTTTAATGTATTGTTACATTGATTTTTGTCCACACTGTCAAACTTAACTATAGAATTGGGTGATGTTTCGTTGGTCATCACACCTATCGATGACTTATGGATTGAAGCGCTGTCTCAGTTGGGCGAAAAACAAGGTGTTATGTTCAAAGGATTTCTATCTAATTCTTGTAAGGATGCTTCCACTACGATAACTGTATCACAGGGAGGTAAGGATCCTTTTTTTGACGGAATGAGACTCCGTGCTATAGCAACAAGGTGTAGTAATGTGTTTTTTTTAAGATAATTTCTTTGTCATATCGTCCGAATTGTCTTTAACTTGCCGTGTATCTGCATGGAAACTTCTCGGATGCGCGCTGGGTATCTTTTCTTTTGCGTCAAATCACGCTATGCAAGCTGCTCATCAACACAGATGGCTCTCTCAGGTACTCTGCTTTGCATTTTTAGCTGAAACACTCACCTCGCTAGTTTCTTGTTGTAAGATAATAACTCCAAAGAACTCTGTCGCTGTGTAACTCCAGCTTATTATTTGGGAGGTCTCCATATAGCGAAGAGAATGTTGAGTGAAGTCACAAAACGACGTCCAAGACACTAGTGTATCAAAGGGATCGGTTTTTCCTACATATATCGTCCATAGACATGTTTGCTTACTTATATATACTGTGTCAGGCTGTTCAGGGTTATCGTCTCCACAGAGTACGGTCCATCTTATGTTTCCATTGAGGATCATAGTCCATGTTTAGACAGACGTGTATGACGTTGTCAAGCTGACGGAGACGAGAAGATACTTTCAGTAAATAGCATCTTAGTAGTGGGAAGAAGCTGTTTTTGGAACACGTGGCGGTAGAGAAGTTGGGATAATACGGTCATTGAATTTCTTTTAATAAATGCCAAAGGTTAGCTTCAGGAGAATGTGCGCAGAATTTCATGCCAGGAACCACGAGATGAATGCCATATAACAAAAGCCTTCTTTCTAATGTGAGATGTAGAAATCGTTCAGTGGAGAATAGTGTAGTGTGGTTAATCATATTATCGTAAATCGTAAGTTTTGCCTAGCGTATGTTATTTCTGTACCGATTTTTTTCTAGTCAATCCGGCTTTATTCTAGTAAAATTCTTCGTTTTGAAGAAATAAGAAGAGGGTTGGCAAATTCAAAAGTCGAAGTTTTAAAACCAACATTTCCTTACTTCAGTGGCCGACTTTTAAGAAGATGCTATTGTATACAAAATCCATGGTTAATGTGATTGGTTTATCGAACACTTTCATGGTAGTGCTAATAAAGCGGAGAGTTTGGAATTGTTTAAAAAACGTCTACCTACAGCAGCCCTCGAGTTGTAACGTCTACGTCAAGCTACGCGAACCTCATGAAGCTTTCGATTTATGTCTGAGATTTCAGGCCCTGCAAGAAACACTAAAGACTTGTAAAAAGAGGGCCGATAATTGGTAGGTGCTGCAGAGGTTAGATAGAATATCTGTAACGCCCTTTACGACTTCACTATCTTCAAGACCACGATGGTCGCTCTCATAAACTAGATCAAATAATCTACGTTTCATAAGAGCGATTGGGAAGATCATTCCTATTTACTCCGATTTTTGCTAGAGCCATTTCCATCAATATCTTTGACATTTTAAAAAAGGCAGATATGTCATCTCGGTGTTTCTAGCTTTCTATGTCCAACTTGACCAGTTCAGACTAATATACTAGCTCGGATTTTTACACATTATCTGATAGAATTCAACGTCTCTATTCATTGGAGAACAGGCAGGGCTGGGGCTGTAACTCCCACGATCGACTTTCTATTAACATCGGCATTGATTGAATAATTGTTTCCATTTCTGTTTAGCAAACGCGAGGTGTTATTTTATTTCTTTATTTGCACGCAACTGACGTTTCGGCGGATTTCGCCCTCCTCAGAGCCTGGAAAGGTCAAGTTGACAGCAACCTATTCGGCCAAACATCTCCATAACCAAACAGAGAAGATGCTGAACCAAGATTTCAATCAAATTGAACACAGAATAGCTTCTTCGCACACTCACCACTTTCTATGAGTGTTGAGTGTGTCATGTGGATATCAACCGTACAGAGTTCACATGGAATCGTAATGTGCCCATCTCATCAGAATAATAGGCTTATATACTGTCCAGTATCACGCGTGATAATGAGGCATTCCTCCCTGCGGTTCATTTTCGGTTTTTTGGAACTAATCCAGAACACCTCGAGAGTTTTGCGCGCTTGTGTTCTCGATTCCTGTGCAGGGATCGCAACCTCTACTTCAAAGTCGTCCCCGTTATGTCTCTTCGTCCTATGCCTAATGGAGTATTTGGTTTAAGTCCACCGACTACATGTTTTTTATACGAACGCAGAGTGGTCTTCTCGTTTCGCCAATATATTCGTCCCTGCAAGCTTTACAAGAGGTCAAATAAACTGTACCCGAACTCATGCAGTTACCGTCTCTTCTATCAAGGCAAATTATGTAATTTTGCATTGCACATAGGTGGTCATATAGGCGGTTACACACTAGCTGGCTCCTAAGAGTGCTCGGTGGCATTCCAACTACTTTGCCGAATTCTCTAAACCGGCCGTTCTTAGGCAGCGTTTTATAGCTGCACTTACTTCGTTTGAAATGAGCAGGATAAACAGGACCTTGTTGTCGCTAGAGTCACCGTTTGGGGGCCTGAGATACCCGCTACACCTATCCCGAGTTACAGTTTCATAGCTGTTAGAAGTGGAGAAATGGCTATTTGACGTGCCAAGTTCCAGGACTCCTCACTCTGCTCTCTTCCGGTGCACACGATGGTTGCTGTTCGAAACATGTTTCTTATAAGCACCATTTTTGTGTGTGAGGTGTGAAAGGTGATGTAATGAACAAGTATGTTTTTGTTACTTGGCTTTCGGTAGCATTTCGTAATATAGCCGTTTTCTGATAGGTTGATTTGCACGTTCAAGAATGGAAGCCTGTTTTCTTTCGGTTTCTCTCGAGTGAACTTGATGAACTCTGACTGTGCATTTAACAACTCGAAACACTGGTCCATTTTCTCTTGTGTTGAGCAAAGGACAAAACAGTCGTCTTTATACCTACAGTAGAGTAATGGCCGGGGATCGGTTATTGGTGCTTCCACTTTAGACATAAATGCGATGGAAAGGCTTAGTGCCTGTCATTGTCGCATTGCCAGCCCTCTCATTTGTGCGTAATACCTCCCGGAGTATGGCTTGCATAGCGGAGTCATTCGACACGTTTGTATTTGACAGAGGGTGGTGACGTCGAAGGACTCCATCACGTAAGCGCTGTTAGGCCACGTGTTACGTAGACGATCCAGGAACATCTGGGTGTTCGTTAGATGGGTTGGAATGTACTTTAGGAACTGGGTAAGTGTTAGGGTTATAAACCACGTTATTCTATCTGTTCGCCTGTCTACACAACTAATGATAAGTTTGGCTTTAACGATAGGTTGGTAGATGCAAGGTCATCACTGGATACCAACTTATGGGTTTTGATAAGTAAGTACAAGACAAGACATGTTGGTAGGTCAACTTTGAGTTGGGACGATAAAGATCTTCATCTTAAATCTTCATAAACATCTTCAAGATGCTTTTCTGTTATCTCAACATCTAAATGATGAGGAATTACAACGAGCTATCCACCCTTGTCACTAACGGATGGTCTTATGTTTTTCAGTATCAGTTCTCGTACCTCTCGCATACCACATTTTTGCACTTCTGTGAGGTTTGAGCTGTATCTTTTCGCGCTATAGTGACTAAGAACTTTGAGAGTTTCATTCGTAAACATACGAAATTTAACACCAACTTCATTATTGGGCTTTTGTTGTCTAAAGAACGGTTGAGGAAATGGTCTTATTGGTAGTGCCCCTACTTGTTGTTCGCACCTATTTAACGCTTCATCCCTGGCTTTTTTGCGGTTTCTATCTTGATGTTCATATAAACTACATGCAACCCTACGCAAGGCTACCTTAGAAATGGGTTTGGATTGTGGGAAACTCGTTCCCAATTCTAATAACGAGCGCACATCGTCATGCCTCCTAACACGGTTAGCCTTGAATTTTCTTGCTCATTATTTATCTTACCGTGACTTGTTTGATGTTCGTTAGCGGTATTTCTGTGCGTTCTTAAAGCCGTGTTATTCGATTTATTCAGAAGGTCTTCGAGTTTTCTCCACAAAGTTACTTTAGCATTAGACCTAATAGAGTTGCAAATCAACACTGACCCGCCCACCATTCTCCTCGAGATCCTCCAAATACCGAGCACAATAGTTTTCCTTCGTCTCGCACTTCTTTCGCTTGGCAAGCATCTGCTTTTGTTTGCTTTGTAAACAGTTTCATAGTATTCGCAAATCGTTGTCCAGTACTCGGTGACTGTCCTCTGGTAGTCCGTCCGCATACATCGTGTAGTCGTCTCCGTTTTATGAACTATATAAAAGTAACAATAAATAACACCTCATGTTTGCTAAACAAAAATATAAAGAAGCAGGGCTGTGTTGTTCTGAAAGAAAGGAATTCTAGGCGACATCGATAGTTAACGCCCAATCTCACGGATGACGTTATTCATAATACCTACAGTTTCCACAATTCATTCCGAGTAGAGTTCTAATGACATCGGAAAAATACAGTTATACGAGTAGACGGGATTTCGAAAAGGGATCAGCTTGATGGATCGCATCTACACAATAACAAAACCCACTGAAATGTCATAAGAATACTGAATTCCATAGTTTTTCACTGATTCTAGGGAGCTGTTTGATTACATTGACATAGTAGCCCTCATTGAAGTGTTAAAGAAATAGGGCATCCATACTCAGTGCATTAAACTTCTGCATCAATCATGCAACAAATTCACAAACAGGTTTTCGTTACTCTCGGATAGCAGGGTCATCGACATTGGAGGTGTTTTGACAAGGCGGCAACTGGTCTCCAAATTCTGGAGGGTTTCTCTGGGAGTTTTCACATAATTTATTGTAGTCTCATACACTGCTTGTTCTTATTATAGTTCAGTGTTACGAGTGTTTTTTACAGGTTGACGCGGTGTTGACTGGAAAAGTAGCGAAAGATGAGGTAATTCGTGAAGCAAGCAGGTTTCTTTCGCAGTTTGACGCGCTTAGCTCACAGTTTGAATATGGTGTCGCTGATATTGTAGCTAAGTAAGTTATTATTAATATTATCAATATTTTGCTGGTCTAGCTATTGTAGCTCCCTGTAGTCCCGAGGTCAGCCCAGCCAAAGTTTCCTCCAAGTCGTCACCACCACAGGCAGTCGCCGCCCTTGTGGATCAGAGGATCAGAGGGAGATTTGCCACCATCCGCCTAGTTTGATACTAGAACGCTGGTGGATCCCGGTATTGGTTCACTCTTAGCTGGGTTTCCTTTAGGAAACACCGGATTGCTTCCCAGCTTGGGAGGCCCTACTGGGGAGATGAGTCCCCCGCTCTACACCGCAGCCCTTCATCCCAGGAACACTTTCCAGCCACTATAAGTGGGTAACCCATAAATTATCAATGTTGGTATTAGTTCGTGGCGATATTTGTTTCAGATCTGTATTAATTGGATCATGTGACACCTTTCTGCCCAACAATGTTGAATTATGGTCGAAGAGAGTAGAGTGTGTAGTGTGATGGTTTTCTTCCCAGTTCCACATTGTTTCATAGTGAGGTGCAGTCGTACTTTACAACATTTGTCGCTAATTATTGTGCTATCATGACGGCTATAACATCTGGAGTTAGATTACAAGTTTTTTTTCTCGGTGGTCGTTTTTTCTAAGTTTTTGTTGAGAGCTCCTTAACTCAGTCGTTACTGTTTTCGTATGGTACTTTGATGTTAACCCCTGAGTGTTCTACGAAGGTGCTTTAAAATGGATTTAACATTTTTTAGGTTTGTTTTTCACCTTTCTTTTCTGCTTGCTTGTTTTCGAGCCTTTATATGAACAATATAAATATGTTCGTTGTTTTAAAATAATTTTCTGTAGCCAATGTACCATTGGTACTTGGAGTCCTACAAAACGTTGCTACGTTGTTATATCGAACGCAAATAAATGGTTGCTGATTTTTTTGATTTCTAACTTTGTTGGATTTATCGACACAATTCGATGTTATACTAGTGTTATTGATCGACACATATCCTTCCTGACAAAGGGATTTGTTCTAGCGATGGTGTGGGGCGTCATTATCTTAAGTCTTAAAGTAATTCTACTTCAGCGTATTCTGTTTAGTTTTAGTCGTCATGCCGTTCATGCATGGAACGATGCCGCTTCGGCGGACGTTCTACTATCTGTTACAAGGGAAAATCAAGTTTAGGGATGATGTACAAGTGAGTCGGTTCTTTGTGAACTGTTGCTTAGCTCTACGTTCACATTTAATATTTGCTTTGATATAAATTCTTTGCTACGTAGACTCTTATCGAACGCATGTCGTGAGACCGTGAATCTTCGAAAAGTCTGGTCCTTTAGCGATCTGTCAAACTTACGGTATCATGTTATTGTATGAATTCCTTTTGCGATTTTCATCATCGGCCTTTTGCTTTTGTGTCTTTAAGTTAGCGGGAATTTCTGACCTAAGCTTTGTGTTTTTGAACTGAATTCCCAGCCGTCGTAGCTCTCACTAACACATTGACAATGGTATGAATCATATGAGATTCATGTGTTACTAGGCAAACTGGCTAGCATTGGTCCCAAATGACTTGTCGCGTAAGTGTCTACGTATCGGTCACAAAATTCGGCGTTGTCGCCAATCTGTTAAAGTGTTTTCTGAAACTAGTAACCACCAGGCAGTCATGAGCAACTGTAGGGCAGTAAATCAAAGACGGTATGAAGCAAATGTTGCACTGGAACTGCCTACAACTCTGTCGTAATGTATTTGTCTGGACTTAAACTTTCGCAACCATGCACGTTGAGTTCATTGTGTATGTTGGTGGGCGATTTGGCTTCTAAATCGTCCTTAAGCGGGCCGTTGTTTCTCAATTCCTACTTTAATTTATAAGTTCGGTTTTTATATTGTGTCGAAATCAACGAGTAGGAAAGCTGCACGAAGGAATCGTTGACGAAAAGATGACACCCTCAGATCCACATCGTGGTGAAAACCTGAAAACGCCCTCGGAAAGTTAAGTCAGAACTCCAGGGAAGGTGGAATTTTGCTACACGGAACACACCAGAACCTTTTCAAGTGTTTTTAACGTTTGTCGAGAATACAGTTTGCTCCTGGTCGTGACTTTTGTTGACTATGAAAAAGCGTTTGGCTGTGTTAAAACGCATGCAGTTCAATCAGCGCTCTTGGACGAAGGAGTGGACCGGTCCGACATAGGAATTCTATGTAATATCTGACCGTTTTCTGAAATGCACTACGAAGATAAGATGCAGCTTTACCGTCAACCCCTTATCATACCCATGAGAAAAAGGGTTCGAGAAGGTGACACCATATCGCCAAAGCTGTTTAGTGCTGTACTGCATTGCTTAATGAGGTCACTCGATTGGGGTGAGCAAGGCATACGTGCCAATGGAAAATCCTTGTGAAATCTTCTATTTGCCAACGACGTAATCGTAAGAAGTACCAACGAAGCAGAGACGATTGTCAATGGGTTCAACGAAACAAGAAAAAAAAACGATTAGATTGGATATAAATAGAAAGAAGACTCAGTTTATGAGAAACCCACTGTGTTTGACTGTACAAACAGATCAACTGGATAGTTCTACGATTACGCAGGCCACCTCGTACGTTTACCTTGAGATTTGAGCGAACATGGAGAACAACATGAAAGAAGAATTAAACATAAGAAGGAGAGTAGCAAGAGCTATATACAGCCCTCGCGAACTAACTAGGGAGCCCAAAGATCTGCACCCAGCTATGCAATTCAACGGCCCTCCCAGTGCTTTGTTGTGCTGCAGAGACATAGGTTTATATCTACGTCGAGATCTGCGCACCAACCACACAGCGCTTGAACGATGTTCTCTGAAATATAACCGGCACTACAAGCGTCGATAGTGAATCATAGATGAGCCGGTCTTTAGTGAGAGGAACAGATGACAGGTGGACGAAAAGAACTGTAAAATGGATGCCACAAGGGCACAGGCTTCACCTGTGACGACTGCCTATACGACGACAGGTGGAGGTGTAGCTGAAGTCAGACGTCTGTACTCGTAGCTGAAATTGTTTTACAGCTACCTGCATGAGACTTGCACCTGCCACCATGCTCGGATCGAACTACCACATTGAACGACGATTACGAGGCAAAGAAGCGAATGTGGGATCCGGGCAAACAATGAAAACTGCCGCCTCAGTATCCGAGAAAGTATGCAAGTATGTTGACGGTTATAACGAACAATATATATTGGTTTCGATGTGCAATCCTGGTTTATTTCGGCTTACAAAACTTTTTGTCACCATCACTGTAGTCAATCGACAGCTTGTCGGACTCGGGTTTTTTACTGGGGCCAAATCAAGAAAAGATAATCTTGAAGCGTCATACGTGGTAAAAACCAGTTTTTCGGGAGAACTAATTCGTTTCTAGTAGTGCTGGTATGTGAGTTGTGCTTGTATATCAAGGTTTGGTAGTGAATATAAGGCGTATGCGTGCACAATGTGTCCATTTATCAATACGCAAACTACTTCGATGCTCAGCATACATTGTAAACTTTTATCCTGAAAAACTTTCGTCGTTGTGGTAAACGTTTGACTTAGGAGCTTCATTTTACAATTTGCAACTACAATTTGCAACTCTTAGAGGAAACTTATACGGAGCATGGAGTATGCGTAGTATCTAGCAGAAGTAGGTTACATCGAGTGCGCATTCATCAAATATGTTGAGTATATCGTTGGAGAAATGCTTGTTCTTAGCTCATATCTTCACATGCTCTGCCCATGGTTTACCGCCTCAACGAGGATGGGAAGTGTTTCAGGGTGTCAGGCAGCGATGTACAGCGGGGGTATTCGTGCACCCGGCTGGGTCTCTCAAGCTGAGAAAGAGTCCGGCGTTTCCATCAGGAAGCCTAGCTAAGAGTAGGTCTGTACCAGGATTTCACCATCGTGCTAGTGTCAAACTAATCCCATGGTGGCAAATCTCCCTCTGGTCCACAAGGGCCGGGACTGCCTGTGATGGTGAAGACCTGGTGTAGATTTTGGCCAGGGTGTCCTCAGGACTCAGGGCACCACAGTGGCTAGGACAGCGAAACTCCGAAAAATAGAAATTTTGCTGTGAGCTGCCCAACTGGTGAGGACGGGCCATCCATATATCTTCACAGCAATTTGCTGCTGTTGCAAGAATTTCGCTTCACAACGTTTCTTCTACTACAACTACAACTTCTACTACTACCATCTTGAGAATAGCCTACAAATAAATGAGCCTTCCTGCATAAAATTTGCTCCTATGTATAATGAGCGCTTCTTATACAGAATTTATAATGCTTGCCTGCAAGTGTATGCAAAATACACCGGAATGGAATCTATAGTCATTACTAACAATCCTATCTTACATCGAATTTATAATTGTTGTCGTCATCGTTATCTATTTGCTCATCTTCTCATTTCCTTTTTTCGGAGTGTAGGGCGGTGACTTCAAGAAATCATTCACCGTCTTAGACTTCTTCCTTACAGCCACCAGTGGAAAATCCATCGAAATTGGATGCCTTTCCCAGGCCAATGTGATTTATGGCCACAATAACCTAAGTTTTGTAGCAATAATTACTAATTCATTTATTCGAAGTCATTATTGGGAATCGTAGTAACCTTTGGAAATCAGCGGACATTTAAAAATGAAAACTTGTGAACAATAATAGCGATGGATTTCAGGTTGTAAGAAACCTAAAAAGATGGCAGTACAACTCAAATATCATGCATAGCCATACGGAAAATTGGTAGCACCATGGTTGTGTAGTGGACGATTTATTTTCTTTTCACGCAAATTACATGAATATGGTCTGAGAGCACAGAATCATAAGAAAGTACAAATAAAGAGCAGAACATACGGATGCGCGAATATGTAGAACTTGAAGTGACACAGAGAATATGTAAAGGAACAGAGTTTTAGAGCTAAGCCACAAAAAATGGAGAGCGGTGTCCTTTGGGTGGACATTCTTAACTGAACGAGAGTCGGCGTGGTCTGGTGTGGTAGTCGCGCGAAACTATTCGTAGTCGCAAAATTGTTAACTTCAATCTAGTTTCCGATTGAAATGTGCCGATGAAGGATCTCAGTCTTGACTCCACTCTCACAGCTTTGTTTCGTAACTTTTTGTCTGGAAATTTTTTATTGCTTATTAAAGGTGTTCGCTATGGGTTTCCATCGACAACCATCAACCGACGAACAACGAGGTGCTCGCGATTTCGTTTTCTGGCACTGGGCTCAACTTCAATATAAGAATCCTCGTGTACAACTGATCAAGCACGTCGACACTGTTATTACTCCTTTCGCGAGAGCATACCTCAGTTTGTTACTTTTAAGGATTTTATTTACAACAGTCGCAAGAAGTGACTATGCTTTCCAACGCTTTTCGTTTCATTGTTCTTAACACATTCGTGCCGGAGCCGTTTCTTCGTGATTATCAATTAGTGAAAATTTCTTAGTCACTAGAGTAGTTGAAGAGTTGGGAATTTTACACACGTATAGGCATAAGAGACTTTATTTTGTCACCTTAGGGCTAAGTATCATCGTTATAGAGTGTCCCTTCAATTTTAAATTTGTTTGAGGTTGAGATTTTTATAAAACCTAGACGGAATGAACCTACGCCAGCCTTTAGGGCAAGGGTGGCAGTTTTAGACAGCATTTATACGTTTTGGAATCTGTTGAGAAGAATTCGCTTTTTCGATCGGTATTGAAACCTAGACAAGGAAAGGATTGAAAAAAAAGTAGGTTTCTTTGTATCCAGAATATCAGGACTTCGTTTTGGCAGTATAGGAGAGCTTTATTCAGCTTGACAAAAATGTATAGATTTCATTATCTTCGTCCAAATTAATAAAGATTTTATTGTCAGAGACACATTGGTTTAAAGTTCATAAAGACATTTATTTTCTGATATCCTTTTGCACCGAAATAGGCACGTGGTCACGAATGTGCTAAGATTAGACCTTTATGTAGGTTTTTTGTTATTCTGCTTCTCATTGTCATTTGTTCTCAGAATTTTTAAATTGATTTTCTTAGTAGCAAGCTAATGGAGTTTGCATTTTTTCCCAACTATGTTGATGTCAATGTTAAGCACATTTAGAAGATGGTCGTGAGGTTCTTTTCGATCTGGAAGGGATGACACGAGAGGAAATAGAGACCCGCATTGCGACAACGCTGGGAAAGACCGATTTAGTTGAGAAGAGGGAAGAACTGATGGAGATTGTAAAATTAAATCCTGCTGATTTCGGGTCGAAATGTAAAAGACAGGTGGGTCCAATCGACCTAATTGTCCTTTGGACTGGTCTAGTTTGATTGCTGTGCAGTAAAATCTTGTATATTCCTGTTTCGAAGAGCATATTAGTTCGATGTTTAGTGTATGTGTGAAGTTCAAGGCCAACATCCGTGTACAGCGTTACTGCAAGCACCTAAATGTATGACCGGTAAATGGCGTTGGAATCATAATCTCATTTAATCGATCTTTTTTGTATTCTATCATGTTAATCTCTTTGTCTGTTTACTGTAATAGTGTATATGTTGTTATAATTTCATAATACGAATGTGTTATCTGAGTTGTTATGAATTAGCCTCGTTATGAGAATCTGTTCTCAGGGATTTCTTAATGGTAATCAACCCGATAAAGAGTCTATGCGCAGTTCCGTAAAAAATGCAATGAAGGCTGTTCATTAAGACCGACAGAGGTGTATTCTTTTCTGAAAGGACTTTTCCCGGAAATGATAAATCGCGTTGATAATTTCTTCTATTACACCCATCAGTAAAAGCAAAGAGTTTTGCTATAGAGAAGCCCTTGGGCTGATTCACTGATCTAGAGGCTGTTTTGGAATACGGGCTACTTTGGCACGTATATGTTCAGGCTCTTAGGCTTAATCCGAAGTCCTGGGAAGCTAATACTGTGTTATGGCTTCATAAATCATCACTGTAGGTTGTTTCTTAATTTTAATTTTCTTTCTAGTTGAGTGAGTGTATTTTTGTACGTAGTAAATCGCGTAGTAACTATGTATGGACGTAGTAGAACAACATATGAGTATTATTGTTAGGAACGTCATCCTTGTTCATTCGTAGTTTTTCTATGTAACTTTGGAGGAACTCCTAAGAAAACTGCTATGAAGGATCGGTGATAGCAAGGACTGTGAACGAAGATGTTTGAAACATAACGTGGTTTGAGGAATTTTTGAGAACCCTTTTCTTCCATTTTTAGGCGATGGTTTTCTTGAGAGTATTTTTTGGATTAAAGAAGGTAGATTTAATTATGGACCGGGATAAAAATACAAGCGATCTACCTCATTGACTTCGATTTCCCAACCAGCCTTTTTTTTCTCCTTTGTTCAGTTGCTTTTATTATCTCCTGATACAGTTCGTTTATGCATTCGTTCATTTTTCATCTTTTTTCACTGCACACTTACTTCTAACTAGATGTGTTTTTACTACGACAAGGGTGCTAGGATGTGAGTAGAACTGGGAACCCCAAGTGAGCCTCAAACTTGCGACCACGCTTTTCGAGGACGCAAATGTAATCCACTACACCAACCAAGGTTCTAGCTTCCGTTGATCATTTCCGTTGACATGTCGGTGATTGCTGAAAACAACGATGCAATAAAAACTGAGCTGAAGGAAAGACAAAGGGAAAGCGAATGCTCTGGCTGATGTGTTAGTATAGCACGCGAGCTTCACTAAGGGCAATCAGGAGCTCGACATTTAGTTGAGGTTCCAAGTTTTGCTCATACGTCAGCATCGTGTAGTTGTATTGTACCCTGCCATAAAAAAAGAGTGGACGTTGAGTAAAAGTAGAAAGATTATCTTCTTACTGTTCCACATTTCTATTTAGCTGAATAAACAGTTTGGCATGATGACGTCACGTTGGCTCATCGGTGTGTGGTGTGTGTGTGTGCGTGTTTTCTTCCGAGACAACTGTGGGAATGACGAGAGTCTTCTCGATGGATGAGGATGTAAAGAAACAAGGAACACTACGAGAGTTTCAGTTCAAAATCATCTTATCGTTTTAATACAGAAATGCTCTGAAGTTTTGGGTAAACGAGGCTTCGTAATCCGTTCGATCTACGAAATTCAGTGTATGTCTGAAGTTATGGTTGGTCGACGGCCTGACACGGATTGTAACTCTATTCCAGTCAAACCAATGTATAGAAATCATGAAGATGGCCTGTTCAATAATAAAGTAGCGCAGATATAAACGTAGATATCCATTTCAATAGCTTGTAGAGGTTAATAGGACACAGGATAGAGCGTTGATCAATTCCTTAGGGATGCGCCGGGTGCACCCTGAGTATCCTAGGAAAGAGTGGATGCAGATTTGGATTAATAAATTGATTTGCGGGGACCTATCGATACATCAAGTCTGTGTTTTCATCTTACGAGAAAAGTCATGGCAGTTTTCCGATCCAGGATGGAAGACGAATTTGCTTAGGATGGAGGATCGAACCAACAAATGTACGACCCTATGCCTCTAACCACTGAGCTGCAAGCATTATAGATAAAAAGAAATAAGTTATTAATCGACGTTAGTTAACGTATTAATTCTTACAAAAGAAGAAGTTTAACCTTTTAATGGTGCAAAAAGGACACAGTTCTTTTAAACACTCAGCTCGTTGCACTTTTCTGTTTCTAACGGCTCTTTGTTGCTCAGCGATGCCAGTACCAATTTTTCTTCTGAGCACAAAGCTGTTTATTTTCTTCAATGCAATTTATCTTCGTCGTCGGTACACGACCGCCGATTGCGACAGCAGAATGGCCCGATCTGAATCATCTGCACATCGCTATAGCCACCGGTATGGCCTGATTGATTGCTTGAAATGTTTAAAAACAATGGAAGCATATTAGCATACTCTTTTCTAGAACACGTTCACGACGAATAGCTTCTAACTGCTTACTGGTCGTTTGACAATAAGGTGAGTTTCAGACTAACTAGAAGTCTCTGAACATGACAGAATTGTAGAATAGACTTTGCTCTTTTAAATTATTATTTACTGCCTACTCTTTTTAACGGGAGCGTATATATTGCGAAATATAACTTCAGTGATGCTGAGATATTTACAAAACTCCAGACCGCAGGCGTCTGTGGTGGGGAACGAACGCGCTATTGTCCTCTCCGGGAAATAACGCGTTCACCACCACACCATGCGGGTACTTCGTTTCGCCTGTCTCTCACCTACTTCTAGCTAGAACTCATCATTAAAGTTATATTTAAAGGTATTAAAGAATATATACACTGCCGTTAAAAAGAGTAGGCAGTAAATAATAAGTCAACCACATGCGTCAACCACATGCGACTATAATCAGCTGTTCTAAACTTCCTCATTGGAAGTCACGAAAAAGCGGCTCTGAAGAAGGCGATACTGCCGAAACGTCAGCTAGCGTTGTATTGTATTGTGTTTTTACGGAAGTAAATGTATGCTGTTTAAAAACCTCGCGATTGCTGAACAAGAAAACGACACATTCATATTCCAATGCCGAGGCTAAGAGAAAGTCGATCCTGGGAACTATTACAAGTAAATAATAAGTTAAAATTGTGATCATAACTGCAGCCTCAGCTTAACTGGGTTCGTTGCCGATTTGGGCTTCCCAGATCAAACCCGTTGACGGATGATTGCTAATGGCTGTGATCGATAGAACTAGCTGAGAGGCAGGCGAAGCGAAAGACCAGCATGGTGCAGTAGTGAATGCGTTAATACCCGGAAAGGACAATAGCGCGTTCTTTTCCCACCGCATGCACCTGCGGTCCGGAGTTTTGCAAATATCTCAGCATCACTGAAGACTTTGCTCTATTCTTTTAAGGCCATGACTAATATGTATGACACTATTTACTGTGTGTTACTACGATCCATAAAGCCCCGCCCCCCATCTCACCAAGCCCTCCACCCTTTCGGGGTCGCCAAATTTGTACCAGGCTTGTCTGGCAGGATAGCAGCACTGGCTGCATATATTGGTAGGCCACCGCGAGTCATTGTTGAAGCCAGGTATGCATTCACTCACCTCCAACGATGCTTAGTGAAGTCGAATGCGTGGCACATCCCTTTGGGGCTGAAGAAAGCCGAGAGCTTTATCCTTTTACTACGATCCATCAAGCAAATACATTGCTCTCGGCGGCTGGAGTATTTTGCAGCTTATGTTAAGTCTACTTCAGGAATTTTATATATTTGGACAATCCATGCAATAACCGCGACTCATCCCAGGAACTGGAATGAAACACTGGTTAATTGTAAGTCAAATTCTTTGTGGGCGAACTTGTCCTAAAGAGGTCTTTTGAAATTGGATCTTTGGAATTCATCAATTCTGTACAAAGATAAGGATAAAGCTGTAAGCGTGATCAATCCCTGAGGGAAGCGCCATGCATTCGACTTCATTAAACATCGTTTGGAGGTGATCGAATGCATATCTAGCCTTTACCCACGATGCCCTACCGATGCATCGAGTCAGTGCTGCTATCCTCCCAGACAAATCTGGTAGGAATTTGCCGACCCCGGATGGATGGGTGGCTTGATGGGCCATGAGTGCGGAGATCGATTCTACGTGTTTGTTGCAGGACCCCTCCTACCACTGCGGCACACGTCAGTTCAACAGAAAGGGACTCTCACGACCGACTTTCTATTCATTGAACCTTGGCATTGATTGAATAGTTCTTTATATTTCTGCTCAGCGAAAGATCTATAGAAAGGTTTTTTCAGGGTCAGACCACTTCTACATTGATGTGTTTTGGATTAACTATCGAAGGAATCGTCCACTGACAACGCTATGTTTAGATGTAAACATACGTCTGAATTGTCGTAACAGTCTTTTCGCTTGAAGTAATAGGCTCTTTTAAGTGATTTAAGAAGCGTTTCTACAAAACCAAAGGTTCTGAAAAGTATTACAAAGACATTATCATCCTGCTTCCACCGCATACAAGCGCTTCTTGTTCATGTACACCTCTTGGTTGAAATTTGCTAGTCATAGCCCTACAGAAATCAGGAGTGGATTTCAGCTGCCGTGTGCCTCTTAGGAGTTTTCTGAACAAAATAGAACATTATCCAGATAGTGACACTCTTTGCAAACTTTCTTAATTCGTAGTTTCTCTTAGGGTAACATTTCTGGCAGAAATTTTTTTTGTCCAGTTTGGAGGCCGACCTCATATCTCAAAATGTCAACTACGATCCGTCATGCACTCACTTTTCGTCACGTTTCTTGTGTTGCTGTGTGAACAATTCATTTTGTTTTTGTTTTCTTCCTGTCGTTTCCTTTAGATGACATTCTGTCGAGTGATTTGTGTGAATTCCACTGAAACGGAGGTTACTGTATGACAATAAGAAGGCGAATCTGAGAAGACGAGGAGCAGGCCATTGCGCAACGGTAAAATAAAAAAGCTGTAGACACCTAACAACTTAATAACTGCTATGGATTGACTTTTATAATTTTATTTTTTTGCAAAACTTTTATTTCACCTTTAAGCAGGAAAATAGGAAA